CACGTCGAAGCTTTTTGGGCTCTCTGCCCGCCGGATCGCTAACCGCTGAAGAGTGGACGCAAGTAATGGAGCGAGCATGGGGCCTGAGGCCATTTGCGAGAGAACAAAAAGAAAAGAGGGTGTGGCCCTGGGTCCACCACCAAGATCTGTCCTTTGTGGATTCGATGCCAACTGCGAGGCCATCCATGGATCAGATACTTCCTTAACCAATTGGCCGCTGTTACTTGGCAGGGGGTACTTTGGAGGGCGCTTGCACTTGTCGACGCGCAGCGGTAATGATTGGTGTATGTTTCACAACCAAGTTGCGTTTCTGCCGCCTTGATCGGTCCGTAGCAGGCCTCTCGTTTTGTAATCCAACAAGTGCTGAGATGGGAAAGTTACACAGTACGTGGCGGAAGAAGCAAGAGATGACGTGATCTCCGAGGAGTGAAGCCCAATGCAATGTTTGGGATGAGCGAGCATTTCGGCTGGTGGGGGGTAGCTGTTGATCCTTTTCTTGCAACACTACCGGAATAGCACGTAGTACCAGTACTTGATCCTCGCACGAGCGGAATTTTTTCCCTAATCAGTAACTTCGTGCAGAACTCCCTTTTTCAATGCTCCGAGGTAGGTTGATATCCCAGCAGTATCTCATATATCGGACCGGAATCAAAACTACAGGCGCACTAGGTACTGCTACTACGAGTAGTACTCTTGTTAGCATGCTCCTGCTTGACTCGTGCGCAGAGCAGCTCATATACAATACCCAGTACCAGCTGGACGGTGCTGGACGTTGTGCTCCGCGCTGCATACTCCGTACGGTAGGCCTATATTGCAGTTAAAGATTTCACAAGCAGAACGATAGGTTCAAGCAAAGAGAGACAGAAAGAAAGACAGAAAGCCCTTTTTTTGGGGCCAAGATTGCGCTAGTAGGGTATTGTAGAGCATTGCAGCTGATCTCTCTTTGTCGGATTCCCTTTGTGGTGAAGCGTATCAGTGACTTGGCCGTTTCCTTGTGCGTATTGCCGGACGTCCACCAATCAAACCCATGGTTTGCATCTCATGTCGGGAGAATACATAGCACTCTTGCCTTGATCCAGGCAGGCATTTTTGTTAGTCATGTGATGCAGAAGAGGCTGATACAGTAACTCATGCCACATTAGCGGTGATACCCTGCGCAGCTGTATTTCGACAACCCGCGTGATGTGGAATCCGAGCGCGGTTTCAAAATGGCATTGGGCATTGCTTTGATGTCCACGCAGAGCAGTTGCTTGTATCCTAGGATGGAGTACTCCTACAAACAAAGTAATGGTATGGGTAGCACTTGCAGCTTTGAATGGCCGCACACATGCACCACGCTACCATGCCACTAGGAGCAGTAGCATAGTAGGATTGCATTGACATTAGGCATGTAGGGTCTGCTGTGCCATGCCATGCACGGCTAAGGCAGTCAATTCTGATTAGCACGCTGGGAAGGATGTGTAGCTGCAGCATCAAGACCAAAGTAGGTTGAGCAGAGCTGGCACTTGGGTTGTATCGTAATCCGACCGGATTAGCAGACGAGACAAAGGACGAAAGCAAGGGAAGAGAAACAGGCTAGTGTTGTGGCTAAGCCATCCTATGCTTGCATGTCACCGTACGAGCCCTGATCCCCTACTGGGTGGCAGACTCTCGTACGAGGAAACAGGTGCCGCCGGGGATGAAGAAGCGTTCTGGGTTACTGAAAAAACAGATTGATAATACAAGAGCAGACGCCGAGGAGGCTGGATACGGCACATAGCGACGTCGGCGATTTTGATTGACCGCCGGGCCGCTGTCTATGAGGTAATTAGGGAACAGAATGTGCTGCCGCGACTGAAAGCGAAACGAGCAAAATGCAGCAGCGTACGGAAGAAGGGCTCAAACGAGGTTGCAGCAATGAACTTTTTGCGTCCCTCGGGGTTGAAAAGGATGCAGCCAGCAGGCCGTCTCTGCTATTGCCACGGAGGGAGGTAGGCCCCAAAACGAGCATTCAATCGTTGTAAGTCGAGGCATATCGCCGATGCCACTACTATGTACGGGGGAGTGTGTGTGCTATGAGATTGGTAGGTAATAGTGATGGTGATGGCGATGATGACGATGCTGCTGCTGCTGATGCCCAGGTACCTATATCCAGCTATTCGTATACCTACTAGTACCTGGTAGGCAGTCGTAGTAGGCAAGTAACAATAGCTGCAAAGCGGTTTGGGCTTGTTTCGGTCTCTCGCTCTCTTTGGGTTCCCATGCGGCCCGTGGCCTGAAAGCGAAGCATACGGTCAGTTCTGTTCAGTACACTGTCGTGGCATCCCAATGCCCGGATGTGGTATGTAGTACAAAGTCAGATAGACGGGATAAACGAGCACGTCAGGCGCCGCACACGGTAGCATTTGGGATGCCACTTGGCAGAGCCCTCACAGCACAGCAGCTAGGAGAGATAGCGCCGACTCGTGCAAGTAGGGAGCAGGCTAGGGAGAGATATCAGAGACATGGGGATATTACCAGCGCAATCCGCGTCTATTTCTCTCAGACAGACAACTCACACCAATGACAATGGCCAGGGCCAGAAATGATCGCTTCTCGCTGAGACGAGTCGTGTCATGAAAGACACCCCCCCCGAACATCGGCACCGTCTGCCGCCAAAGGCCATTGACGACCAGAGATCCCTGTCGTTACGCAAAAGAGCAAAAAAGTGCCGCCCCCTGGTCGCGGCGCCAGGATCATTTGAACCCTGAGCAGCTTTTTGGAACTGTCTTTCGTCAATTTGCCATCAGCGCAGAGCGCCGAGACAGGGCGGTTGGGACTTCGCTCGCAAAGAGCAGCATCGCATCACGCCAAAGTGACAATTCAAATTGCGCCGTGTGTTGGACGGCAAATGAGCACTGGCGCTCGCCCTGCTTTCCAGTTGGCGCGAGTTGATAAACTTTGCTGGCGCTATGTGGTAGCAGTCAGTCGGTCGAGGTGTCAATAACAAAAAGATGAATGCCCAAGGCATCGATGCTGCAGCGAGTACATCGCAGGTACCGCCTGCCCTGCGACAGCGGCTGGATGCGGCAGGTGTGCGGCAAGTACCAGGCCTGGCCGCGCTGCTTAATTGATCATCCGGTGGCGGTAGGTCGCCAGACTAATCAAGAAACGAGAGGAAGGGAAAGGAAAGGCGCGTGCGAGCGACTAGTCCCGAGCGCAAAGACCGCTGTAGCCCCGACGGGAGTTGTGCGCAGAGAAGCTCGGAATGGGCGAAGGCGAAGGCCAGCTGCGATTTTGATGGTCATGTCATGTACGAGTACGCGGCATTGTGGCTGCTGGGATGCGCTGTGGTGTGTGTCTGTGGCAAGTGATGCGCAAATGCAGAACGCTGTTGCAGCAGCACCGTAAAAGCAAATTCTTCCTAGCGGGAAACTTTATACGGCCCAGTGCTTAACAGGCGCTTTGGCTGCGACAGTGTTTTCCATATTGCTGCAAGCAGGCATATGGCGATACCTGGTGTAAGCATGATGCTGATACTGCATAGTGCTGCTAGAAGTAGCGTCACACACATGATATTACTTGTACTAGGTTGTAGCAGAAATACGGCCGTAGAAGCCTCTTTCTTATTTTCGAAGTTGTCCTCTGGTTCTTTTCCCATTCAGCATTTGGCCGACGCGTCAAGCTCAAAGTATCAGATACCGCCAAGTCTTGGTACTGTATGGCCGACTAGCGCACTTATCCCTTCCCTGCCCGTCTTTTCTCCGGCGCTCTAGTCTAAATTTTTTTTTTGGACGTGACGAACTCCGGCCTACAAGTACTCTTTCCATTGAGACCTGGGCTTTTCTCAACTCTTCTTCTTCCTCTTCCTCTGCTGGCTGTCTTCTTGCTTCTCCATCCTTCTCAATCTTGCTAGGGCTCATCATCTGGCCGTAATTTTTTTTGGTCTTTCCCACCCTTTGATCCCGTCTCGTGAGCAAAAGCTGCCGAATTTTGGAGTCCAGCCGCGGCACAGCTACATTAAGGTGAGTGCACAAAAAGAGGGCCCCTCAATGGCGGTTCCGTCCCTTTGCCTTCTCCAAAAAAGACCACAAAAAAAGAGCGAGACGTCGACTTCCTCCTCTTTGATGCCGGATCCCCTCCCACTCCATTGCCCCAGATCCCTTGCTGGCCTTGCTCTGCTATTCCCGTACCCATCCTGCTAGGCAGTACTCGTACATGCCACAATGCCTCGCCCACATCCCTCAAACGCTGCATTCGCAATGTTTTTCCACAACGCCCTTTGCTGTTTTTCTGCTTGCGGCCTTAGCGATGCCACCTGATAGCGATAGCGCTGCCCTCTGCTTTGCCCCACTCGCCACCGCCCGCTGAGCGACCGCTACGGTTCAGCAGCTACGTCTGCCAACGTTTCGCTGCAGCGCACTGTCCTCGCTGCTTTGTACCGGTACAAGCGCTGGCACCCTCCTTGTTCCCCACTCTGCGCTTTCGGCATCCTGGAAACGTTCTTGTTGCCACTCCACCCTCCCCTTGCTAGCGCGTTGTTTTTTTTCCCTTTCTCACACACCTCGCCCCACTTCGCGCTCGACCATTTTGGCACTTTTTTTTCTCTCGCTTTTTTCTCTGATACAATACTTTTTTCTTTGTACCTGACAGTTCTTGCGCTCTCCAAGGGCAGATAAAATAGGAACGAGGACCCAGTTCTCCACCCCACTCGACTGTTCCCTACCTAACCAACTTTCTCAATTTGAGGGACCTGTTCTACTGAGAGCCTCATCCAATTGACCTCCACCTTCCCCAGAGCCTTTCGCAACCTCACGCGTGGGCCTCATTGAGAGTTGACAACAACAAGAATTGCAATTCTTGCCTTCTATACTCGTGACGAGCGCTCTTCGTCATCTTCGAGTCGAATCAACGCCAATTCCTCCTCTTTGCGCATTCGCTGTCTCTCCCTCCCTTGAGATAGACAAGGACAAGGACAAGAACAAGAAGGAAAACAACACAGAACACACGTCTCCCAACTCGACGCGTCTTCTCGCAGGATTATGGACGGCCCTCAATACCCGACCAATGGTGTAAACACATCTGCGGCTCAAACTTACCCGTCACCCACGGCCATCTCGCCTCACCAGCTTCAAACTGGTTCTCCTCTGCCGCAGACGCTCCCGCCTCTGCAGCCCCATACCGTGGCCATGCAGCCTCTCTACGGCAGCCACCCGCACACACCGCGAACTCCGGGCACTCCAAACACTCCAAACCAGAACCTGCCCAGCTACCAACAGCAGACCTCGCAGCCTGGCCACCGTCCTGGCATCTACTCCATGGCCCAGAACCCGTACCCTCACCAGGGCTATGCTACGTCTGCTGGTATGATGCCTCAAGCTACCACTGCGGTCTCGCACCCGCAGCCCATTGCTCCCGCGCCGTCTGGTGGCCGTGGACCTCCGGTTCTGCGCCCCATGCCCCCCGGTGGCATTATGCCCCAGCCCGGTGTAGCCTCTCCCTACGGACCTGGTTCTCTCATGCAGCCCAACTCCATCCTCCAAGATGGTGAGCAGCCTACCCACGTTGTTGGATCTCAGGGCCGCCGAGGAATACTGCCTAGTGCTCCTGGACGCCCTGCTGCTCAGGCGGCTGGAACTGGTGCCAAGAATACTGTTATCCCCGTCAAAGATGCTGATGGAAAGTTCCCGTGCCCTCACTGCACCAAGACTTACCTCCATGCCAAGCACTTGAAGCGCCACCTCCTGCGTCGTAAGTCCTCTATATTTGCATCATCATCGCGTGAAATCATTGTGTATGCTGACCTGGCCGTCCAGACACTGGTGACCGCCCCTACATGTGTGTTCTCTGCCGGGACACATTCTCTCGAAGCGACATTCTCAAGCGTCACTTCCAGAAGTGCTCTATCCGCCGTGGCAACCCCACCGGTGCTAGCCACTTGTCCCACCCGCAAGCTCACGTCAAGAAGAATGCTCAGGCTCAGCAGAAGGCAGCTCTTGAGAATGGAGGAGATCTGAACCACTTGAATGGATTGGGTAACATGGGTGGGAACAACATTGTTCATCCCTTTGGTATTGTTCCCGTTCAGGATGGCATGAATGGCATGGGTGGCGACCAGAGCCAACTCTCCAGGTCGAGCAGCATGGGTAGACTTGATAATGATGCGGACCGGAGGAACATGACTGGGTCTGTAATGGGCTCCTCGCAGCAATATGCGGGCGACGTTTCTAGCTCCATGACCAATCAACAGATGCCAAACTACAGTATGCCCCCTGGTCAGAATGGTATTCCCATGTACGGCGGTTCCAACCCGAACCAACAGCCTGGCCTTGACTGGTCTCAGGTCTTCCAGCCTGGTGCGCACCAACCTCCGATCCATCATCCTAATTCAGCCCCTAATCATGGACAGACGCAGACCGAAATCAAGGCCGAGCCTAATCTGGCCGGTTAGAAACCACAGCCGAGTCCATATGATGAGGAAAGCCTCGCCCGCCATCAAAGAGGAATATGAATAACCTCTTAGTACTCTCGATCCAAGACTGGGCCGTGGCCTCTCACCTAACCCCCCAATTCCGCAAACGAAAAAGTTAAGATGAGCGAGCACTGAAGGCATAAGTTTATCTTATACCCCTGTCGAAAAGCGGGGGTACCGAAATTCACCAAACTGCGCTTATAATCATGCTGGCTGTCTATTGTTGTCTTCCTCTTTGTTGGAGAAAAAAAAGTTGCAAGACTTAATAGAAAAAAAATCCCAAAATCGCTGAAAAAAATTCGAGGGTTGCATTGAGAGGCGTTTCGATTTGAGTTTATATTTTCTTTTACTTCTACGGTTTGACTTTCTAACGTTTTTTCTTTTTATTTTCTTTTGGTGTGAGAAACGCAATCGATGGACCCACGCATATGGGCGACTGTATGTGGAGGGGAATCCACTCGGCTTGCTTTGCATACATGAGGGTTCGGCTTCGGTGGCGTCTTGTGTGCTGCAAATTGCATTTTCAGTACGGATAGATAGGGTGTGGAGTTGACTTTTATTAGACTTCGATCCGACATAGAGGGGAGGAATCTTGGCTGGCTGTGATAGTTGGCCATTATGATCTCGTGGACTGGGCTATATAATGAGTATTGTTCCGTCTTGCGTGTTAACGCTAGATGGTTGATGTGAAGGAAGGACGGTCAAACAAAAACAAAATGGGGATGGAATTTGGATGGTGGGAGTGGAGGATGGAAGGTTGGCAAACTGTTAGAGACTTTGTAAAAAACAGAAGAGCCCCCCGATGGTCAAACAGGGCAGAACGAAACAGAACGATAGTCATTGCATTAGAATCAGAGTTTTCACAACATGGCTTCTCATGCCTTGTTATAATTTCTTTCATGTGTGATTCATTAATCTTCGATATTTACATGCGCTTCTATGAGCGCCGTCTATTGAGATGCATGATTTTGGTGTTACTACTATTAACGAAGCCTGTATCGGGTCCCTCAGTAAGCTAGCTGTAAGAGTATTGCGAGAGCAAAGATACAAAGCATGAAAAATGCTAAAGGGGTGCTGCTGCTCACAAGGACAACGGCGAGTGGGTATGGCTGAGCATATATGAGATGGTTGCGTATGAGAGTGAGTTGAAATCACATATAGCAGGGTCCCTATCTTCGGTCCTTCAACGCCTCCTGATTCTTCTCCACAGTTGTGATTTTCGGCGCCATGTCACGTAGCGCAGACTTGTCCTCTTCCGTTGGCGTGTATCCAAACTTTTCCTCAGCCTTGTCGGATAGGTAGAGCCCTGCGCAACCCCAAGCAATGATGGCAGCACCGACGCCGAGACGGGTCTTGGGGGACAGGTTGGTATAGGCTCTGTGAAAAGTCAAAGAAGGGGGGTGTAAGTAAGAAGTTTATTTTTATGAGGGGAAATAGTTGAGTTATATGCTATGATGAGATGGCTCACTTGAACATGTTTCCCTTTTCAGAGGATTTTCGGCAAGATCATGAGAATTGGACAATTGTGGCTGAATAAGATGAAATTGACACTCGGTCGAGATCTCGGGTTGACCAAGGTATAGGGGAATAAAACAAAACTAATAGACACGGGTGAATACTATTTTTGGTTCAAAATGACTGCATGGCGTTGAAAACTCCGGATTAAGCTTATAGATTGCGAATTGGTGACGGGAGAAGAAAACGATGTCGTCGAGAATGGAGTTGATGTCACATGACATGTTCTCTGTTGCTCAGAGGCTTGTACCTCTTAGCGCTAAGACTGCGAAGCATGGTAATATTCTGGTAAAGGTGTACTTGGCACCAATTACACCTGGACGAACAGACGATGAAGCTGTTTCCTTGTTTGCTAATAGAAGAGCTATTTGTATAGAAAATGTAGATGGAGTTGAAAGAATATGAGCTCTGTCGAATTTAGCTAAATGAAGACCTTGTAATGGTTCAAATCAAATTGCGGTCATGGAATGAGAGCTTCCACTGTGAGGTTGCGAAACTATTCTCAATCTCGGCCTCACCACTGCGTACAATACGGCCGGCCGATCATGATTACAATCTTGATATCAGTCTACAGGAACATATGTTTCAGGGCTTCAGATGCGACGGATGGATGTTATCGTCCGGTGTTAACTTGGATGCAAGCCAGTAATGTACAAGTATACAGACATTGTCATCCAAAGGCCGTGAATTGCTATCTTCTAGTGACTGATTCAGAAAATGTAGAGAGACATGTCATTTCAAGGCGTAAACGTATGGATTGGCATTGGTGTCTTTGGGGGAGTAGTTGAAAAGTATTAAAGACCACGTATATAGACTTTTGTCTACTTAACATGAGATAGCCTCTGAATTAAGTTTAAGCCTCACCCGCCCATGGCTCGCTTTCTCGTATTTAACAAAAAGTAAACATGGACAAAGACGACCAGATACAGAAAATGGACGTAAGTGGAAAAAAGGAAGGAAGCGAGGATGCCGGAAAGCACAGGTAATGATGGACACGAAAACGCATTCGGTCTGTTTCTTCATCAGAGGCGCAGCGTTGGAAAAAGTAGAGCAACCTGGTGGGGGGAATTTGGATTGAAGGGGGCTTATAATGGCTGGATTTGACAGACTGGAATTCCCTCCTTTTCCATTGCACTTGGTTTCCATTGAGGACTGGACCTTGTCCAGCTGACGTTGCCTCACTTCTAAGCCAAACTGGTGTAAGCTATGATGCTCCCTGGCTCCCGTAGTGAAATTAAACACAAGCAAGTCGCACTGCTACTATTCCGTATTTGACCTCCGCTAGGAGGGGATAGAACGCAAAGACGCTTCAGCGTATAAGCCTCACTGGAGCGGACTGAGGAAGCCGGCGATTAGATCGCCTTTGGTGCGGCGATAGTTGCATAAAGCGCTTGGGCTATTGACTGCGTGAGGGAGGGGGACTCATCCCTTCCAACATGGGTACAAGGCGGCTGTATGAACAGGAGAGGCGGCCTAGTTAAAATTGAGTGGTAGCACAGAGGAGATTGCTGCTGCATCATTTACCGTTAGGGGAATGTATGTTTCGTCACATTCTCTTGGCTTGGGGGGCATCGTAGGGAAGCGGCATCACAGTCGTACAAGCTTGAAACCCAGAATAGATGAGACGAACGCTTGTTGAGTCTCTCCAGATGCCCAAGGCCCCTGTCGCTATCATGACTTTTGGAGAAAAAGTAGCGCCATTGCTCGGTGCCCCATAGCTCAATGTTTGTTTGCTGCCATCGTCCAACGCAGCGACGGACTGGTCTAGTCATATCTGATCTCGGAAACGCGAGCGAGAATCCAGGGCTCATTGGCGCACGCGAATCTCATCGATCGGCCTCGTCTCGTCTCTTTGGCTCTAAATCACGACAATAGCGCACCCGGGCCCTCTTTTTGACTGTTTGACGGGTCCCACAAAGTTAGCAGCGTCTTCGCAAGACATGGATCCCAGGACCATGTGTTTTTCGCTGTCGCTGTTGTTTCCCGCGCTCTAGCAGCCCTACAAGTGCATATTGCGCCCATCCCATGCTGCACGCAAACGCCTTTGCTCAGTTGACGCGTCCCATAATTAATTCCAGTAAAAACGGGTTTCCGTAGCTATCTGGGTGGCGATCGGGGGTTTTTACTGGATAGCTCGGCCTGCAATACGACGTCAGCATCACCCTTGAACAGATGCGCTAATCGTTTTGATATCAATGCCAAACAGGGGGAGCTCGAGGGGAAGACAGAAGGAGAGCGAAATGCATAGAAAGGCTCTTTGTCCCTCTTTTCTCCTATTCAGAGCTGGTGAAGAATGAGGCGAAGTACATGCAAAAAGGCCTGTGCTTTAATGAAGAGCTCATTTTGCGCGGGCCTCATTGCGGTGGAGCTGCATGTGAATCACTCGTGTATGTATGTGCGAGCAAGCATGGCGCGAGTGGAGATTCGCGCATTTGGAGCTCAGAAAGCTTAGAATAGCAGCTGTGCGATTCGTGTCTCGCCCCCCCAGGCTGCTTGTTTGCTTGAGATGCCGCCAGCCTGATTGATGAAATACGAAGCGTGTGACGACCCCATATCAGGCCAGTTTTTGCGGCCATTAATTTGCGGCAATGGGAAGAGGGGGAATTGAAGGAAAACTCCCCCGCCCTTGATGGCGAACGCTGATCCTGATCGATTCTCAATGCCTTTAAGCAGCGCGCCGCATGTAAACGAGATTGGCGGAGGAAGACCAGCCCCTCTCCGAGGCTCGAATTGGCTGCAGCCACGACGGATGAAGGGCCGGTCACTTTGGCAGCCTGCATTTCGTACGACAATGATGCTGCGGTGGGAGATGATTCTGAACGATAGTAGTAGTACCTAGGTAGCAGTAACAGTAGTAGTAACAGCAGTAACAGCAGTAACAGCAGCAGCACTCGTGAGTCGCGGGCAAAAAGTGCGGAGAAGAGATTGTTCAGTTGTACAAAGGAGTTCTGCTGCTACGCACAAGCGCCGCGAGGCTGAAGTCGGAGATACTTGCTCCACGCAATCGTGTCTCAGTTCTCTGTGTGGCTGTCTCAGTGACGCCACGTACCACCAGTCGGAGATTGAAAGGCGGAGAGGCACGAAAAAAACAAACAAACAACACGCCTATCTGTCTCTGAAACGAGAGGCATTCCGCTGTGCTTCTCACAGGCATTCGGTCTGCCATTGTGCTGTGCCGTTGAATGCACGCAAGCTCACCGTCGTCGTCATCATTACCAATTGAACGCTCAATGCTTGAAAATGAGCAGCCCAGTCAGTAAAAGACTGCAAGCCCAGGTGCTGCTGCTAGTCGGTACTAGCCCCCTGTACTTTCGCAGCACACTGAGTCTTTTAGGCCTGCTTTGCCTTGGTAGCCCGCTGTTTTTTGGCCTCGTAGTGGCTTTTCAACCCCTGGGGCCTGGTGTCGGCGAGCCACTGAACGCCAGCTGGGCGTCTTGTAGCCGGGGGTCTAGTCCCAGGCGGTCCAATCGCTGGGCTCAGCTCACGCCTTGATAATGGATGCGGCGCTGCAGCCGGCCATGCACTAGCAGGTTTTTTTTCTTTGAATTTTTTTTTCGTCCTGTGTTACGAGCCGGTAGCGTCACGACTAGGTGACGAGTAGCGCGTGGGTTGACACCTCTGGAGCCAGATCCGGGCCCGCGCCCGGTACCACCCAAAAAGCCTGGAGCCAGGGCCCGAGAGGCTCTGAGGGCTGGGGCCTGCTTTTTAGCGTTCAAGTGAGGGAGCAGTGCAGGTCAGCGCTGGGCCGTTTAGTGATAAAGGCTGGAGCATGCCGGATGGGGAGCTTGGACTCCAGCGCCCGAGACCTTTTCCTCCCTACTTGAGTCTTGCTGCCAGACTTTTTGCTTGTCAACCCTCCAACCCGCATCGCCATCCGCCGGCTTCACCAGTGTCGGCGTCCAAGGGCTTGGCTGATGCTGTCCGCGTCCCTCGCCTGTTTCTTTCTCTTTTCCCCTCCTGGCGGTTCGCTTCCTTTCGCTTCATCGTCTTCTGTTGCGGTGACGGCGCTTACGCCCTAGACGGCCGAGAGAGGCGGCCCCTCCAAAACCCCCTTTCGATTAATACACAGCCATGCAGCGCGTTTCTGCTTTCCTGCCCTCGTGGGAGAAGAGGAATTCCGGCAGCAACAAGACCGGGACCTTCTTTGGCCGGAGAGCGTCGCAACCTCCGCCTCCCAATGGCCTGGCCAAGATCAATACCGAGACGGCGAATCTAGGCGCCAAGCGGGTTCAGCGAGAAGCCTTTTGGCCTGCGACACTGGACCTCGAGTGCGACAAAGCCGCCCGAATCCTCAAATCTTTTTGCGGTAGGTGATTTTCTTTTCAAGCGCTAGTCTTTGGGATTTATTCGTTCATTACATGTCTCGAGTCATTGCATTCAGGACCAAGAAACGCTAATTGGTATCGATTCGCAGTGGATGGCTACTTTGCCCCTACCGACAACGACGCGCCAGCATCTCCCTCTTCCACTTCGACGGGCATCAAGACGCTGGACCAAATCCCCAAGAAGATTCCCAGACGAATAATACAAAATGCTGCCGGAATTGCTGTCTTCACATGTATGCGAAGCGGCCTCTGGATGACCGGCTCGGGCGGCTCAGGCATCCTGATAGCTAGGAAGTCCGACGGCACCTGGTCTCCGCCTTCTGGCATTATGCTCCACACCCCGTCTCTCAGCTTCATCATCGGAGTCGACGTCTACGACTGCGTGCTGATCATCAGCAGCCATACCGCGCTTGAGTCTGTCACCAGACCTCGCCTGACCCTGGGCGAGGATGTCGAGCTCCGGGCTGGAGAGACGGTCTCACTCGGCTCTGAGGAGATTGACATTAACTGGAAAGAGCTGGGCAACACCGTGCTGACGTACATGAAGGCCCGAGGCCAACAGCAATCGGTCAATCTATACGGATGCATGCTGTCCGAGCGCAGCAACGAAAATGAGCGCTTCTATGCTTCTGACGTCACCCACATGGACATCCTTGCCGGCAACGTCGCTCGAGATGTCGAAGAGACGACTGCTTTGAACGAGGTCCTCAAGATGGCGGAAGGAAGAACTGATTACGACTCGTCCGTCATCAACAAAGTTGCCGCAGAGCCGGCGCCGAGCGATGCCTTGATCACATCAAACCCCCCAAAAACAGCATCCATTCCCTCGTCTCCCCACTCTTCTTTTGGAGTCCCGCAGGTGGATGACCCCGACCCCTTTGGCATCTTGGCATTGGAAATGGCCGGACTTGAAATCCGCGAGGCTGGCTCTCGCATCCGGCCGACCAGTAGCTTGTTCGACATGAACCAGAACCCCATGAGCCCTGTTGCTTCGTCCAAGCGCAGCCGGCAGAGCATGGATACCTTTGTATCAAGGAGCAACCGAGGAAGCTATGTGTCAATGCGTACCATCAGGAGCCAGGTTACTGATGCCGGTACCCAGACTGATACGGGCAACACTCCAGAAACGTCCCCGAGCCCAGGTCCTAGCGCTGGTAGTGGACGAGCTTCTCCTGCTTATATCCCTGTGGTGAAGGAAGAGGACGAGGAAGAGGAGGAAGAAGAGAAGGAAGAAGAGGAAGAAGAAGAGGAAGAAGAAGAAGAAGTGGTCATCCCTCCTAGATCTGCAAACAGACTTTCCAAAGATGTAGCCGTTGGCCCAGACTCTGTCGACGAAGATGAGCTAAGCGAAGGTGATACCGAATCGCTCTCAGAAAGCCTTCGCCGCGAAGAAGATGCTATGAGTCACGGTGAATCAAGCGAAGAGGACGAGCTGTTTGAGGACGAGTTTGAGGATGACGACGAAAGCGACGAGGAGTTCAACGATGCTGACGATGAGGACGATATTGAGGAAGAGCCCGTGGTTTTCGAAGTTGCTGCGGTGCAACGTACCAGCACGCAAATGCGCTCTTCCGGCATGATCCAAGCTCGAGGTAACGTGGTGACTATCGCCAAGAGGGTGCCTCCGCCACTGCCCACGCGCAGCCCGGCCAGAATGTCACGCATTGCCAACAAAGATGCCACCGGCGAGGGAATCGACCTGCAAAGCCCCCTGAGCCAAACATTCAGCAGTGATGGCGATCTGGATAGCCAAGACGCCGATGCTAAGAGCATCGAGGCTGCCATCACAAAAGAGGAGCAACAGCCAGAGATTGAGCAGTCCGAAAGTGAGAAAAGCGACGCCGCAGAAAAGCCCGAGCATCAGGCTGTAGCTCAAGAGGATGAGGCTTCCGAGGCTTCCGAGGGTGAAAAGCCAGGTGCCGATGAGACTGAGTTGGAAACCCGCAAGCAGGATGATGTCCTCTTGAGCGAGCCCCATAACGAGCAAACCGATAACTCGGATGCCGCATCAAACAAAAAGAAGCATACCTCATCCATCTACACTGGCGTGACTGAGGATCGCTGGAGCTGTGACGGATCATCCGTCACCACGCCTACCTCTGAGCGACGATTCTCCCTTACCGAAAACCAGATTACCGATGATGCAACCAAGAAGACTGTGCAAGAACGAGTAGAAGAAATCGACGACTCTCGTTCTGCGCCCACTGAAGCTGCCCCCACTCCCGTGGCTGCAGCAAACTAAACAACGAAGCAACTCGAAACACGCGACACGACGTCATATGGCATTCATTACCCAGCAGCCAAGTAAACGGCTACACGACATTAGCATTGCTATTTATTATCCGCACTCTCTCTTTACAACTTTCTTTATCACCTTCGTTTTTTATGGATATCGACTACAATAATTGGCATGGCGGGTCTTTACTGGGATAAAGCTCTTTATATATCATATCGAGATATATATACGGGCGGCGCTGTCAGCTTCGAGAAAGAAGCATTTGCTTGGGACTGCTATTTTGATGAAAGAAAAAAGATAATAGCGGCGTTTTGTGGACTTTGGGAATGCGATTTTTTCTTTCTAATATTATCACTTATTATATATAGATACGATGCGGTCTTTGCGCGATTGCATGGAGAGATGATGGGAGTTGCAAATTGCAGGGGTTTGCTGCTGGGAAACAACTTTTTATTCTTTTTCGCATGTATGATTATGATGGGGAGGGCCGTCGACGAGGCCAACTGTGTCGCAGACAGGATACACACTGCATAGGCGGCGACTATTAGCTTGATTTATTTGGAATCTCCAAATTTCTTCTCTGTTAGTAATTCTAATTGAAGACAACGACAAAGATTTTGCTGTCCTGTTAAACGCCTATGATGACTTTGGATGGCATTCTCCATGTAAATGAGTAAACTACCTCGGTACTAGTAGTTATCAGTATGTTCTACAACTGTGCCTTTCTTAGCACAAAGTTTTTTCGATTCTGGACCGATAAAGTAGTGCAAATGGGAATGCATGAAGCCGTAGAGACGGACCCTGATGGCGGACAGCTGCTGCTTGCCTTGACGGGCGCTGGCAGCTGGCTGTGTGAATGGAGGCCATGGAAGTTCTGCTGTTTTCTATTAATTTCTTTTGTAAACGAATTTCGGTTTTCACTTTTTCAAATTTTAATCATCTCTTGCTCTCCTGCTCTTCACTTTTGGAATTTCTCACATGATGCTTATTTCAGGCTATACCCACCACGACGGTATATAAGAGCTCTAACAGGAGAGAAAAAGACAACATGATGTCAAACAGCACACAAAATGGCAATGTCAGAAATGACAGCTCTGGCACTGCCTGGCCAAACAATAGAAGTCAAAGCACAAGTATTTCCCGGACTCCAAGAAAACAGCAAAGGCAAGCTGCGATCGACGCCACAGACGCTCAGCCCGAATCCCAGCAACAAGCTGCTGAGCCCTGGCCTAGCCTTGCTGGCAGCACCGCCACAGCTCCAGCCATACCTACGCCACACCGCTACGGTTTGCGCGCGCGCAGAGCATCTCGAGGCTCGTTTTCGACTCCCTCGCGTTGTGGCCGCACAGCATCCCGGCAGACGCTACAGCAGACGCTCCAACAGCGCAACAACGGCAACGGCGGCGGCGCGGCAGCAATTCGGATCGGCTTCCAGCTCGACTTTGGCGTGCTTTCTCAAAAGGCCGATTTGCGTCACAGAAAAAGCATCAACAGCATCATCACAGCTGCTGCTGCTGCCACTAACAACACCCACGTCAACGCTCACGCCCACGGTTTCAGCCACAGCCACAGCAACGGCAATACTCAATTCGCCATGGCCAGCGGAGGCAAATGGCGCGAGGAGCAGGTGCTCGTCATCTGCCCCGGCAGCAGAACCACCATGGCCCAGCTGGGCTGCGGCGAGCTCTCGCCTCCACACCATCGCATCCCCACGAGGATGTTTCGAGACGTGGAGGATTCGAACCTGTGGCGGCCGTACTACACATACAAGCGAGTGACGACGATTGACGGCGTGGAGAACGAAGAGTGGGTGGAGGATGTAGACGAGGACAAGGATGCCGTATGGCCAATTGAGGGTATGTTTCTCTTGTCCCTAGAACGAAGACAGGTGAAAGAGCAAGAAATAGAAGAAAGAGGAAAAAATCCGTGTGTATAGAGAGGATGGGATAGCTAACGTCTATTGGGGTTTTGTGTCGTATAGGTGGCCGCATTGTCCAGATGGACGCTTTTCTCGCTTTCCTAGACCACGTCCACGGCCTGCTCACCACGACATATCACAACACACCCATCATGTTGATGGCGTCTCCGCAGTGGACGCGCCCCGACTGCGAGATCATTGCGCGGTACATCTTCGAGAAGACAAAGACACCCGCGCTCTGCTTGATCCACAGCGGCATTGCCACGCAATACGGCCTCAAGTGGCCCAACATGACCGTCGTCGACATTGGCTACGAAAAGGTCGATGTCACGGCCATCCACGACGGACGAGTCATCAACCACATGGATCTGGGCCGGCCGCAGCCTGGACGACACATTAGCGGCGGAGAGGTCTTTACACAGAAACTGCAGCAGCTGCTGACGGATAAGGGCTTCAGCCATGACATGGCGGAGCAGCTGAAGAAGAGCGGCATCTGTGAAGTGCTGCCTTACGCCCCATCTCAGAAGGACCTCGTGGTGCTCCCCGTTGACACTCCAGACGCAGCGCGCTCAGCGGCGGGCCCAAGTAAGGCAGGAGCAGAGCCAGTCGCAGCGGACTCTACAACGGCAGACGGACCTGCGGCGGATGTCCCCCGAATCGAGGAGCCTTCTAGGACGGAGGACGTCGTCATGGAGGACAACGACGGCGCGGATACAAATGTTGACGATGATGGCGTCTTGGATGTGGCTACCATCGTCACCAGCGGCCAAACCAAGGAATTCCTAGCCAAGAAGGAGAAGGAGAAGGAGAAGGAGAAGGGCAGGCCTGGGCGAAAACCGAAAGCGGATAAGGAAGCGGAGGCGGCTGCTGCTGCAAGGCCTGTTCGACAGCCCAACTCCAAGAAGATGCGCAACACGTTTTCGTACGAGGAGATAATCATGGAGGAGGTGTCCAAGGTGGTGCCTGTATCTGTAGTTGCGGAGCCCACGGCCATGCAGGGTGTGGAGAGCAGCAGTGCCGCCGAAGGTGTTCCTGCAGCAGCAGCTCCAGACGTTGCGCCAGCAGCAGAACCGGCGGCAGAATCGACAGCGGCGCCGGTAACAGAAGGACTGCAAACTGAGAAGCCTGCTGAGCCCATTTCCGATGCTGCGGCAGCAGGAAGTGAGGCTGCTGTTGATGGCGCCAACAATAGTGCAGACGCCAACCCCCTTGCTCCCGAAGCAGCAGCTGCTGCAGCAGGAACCGACAACGAGCCTGTTATCAAGTCCGAAGTCAAGTCTGAAGAGACAAAGGTCAACGGCGATGGCAATGGTACAACCCTGGCCACGGTCCCAGAATCTAAGCCAGCGGAAGCCGTCAACGGCAACGACAGCACCAAGGCTGACGATGCTGCCGCCGCCAACTCCAACGAACCCCCCGAGCTCCGGCCACGCAAGATCCGCCGCGAAATCGAAGTCGGCCTGGAGCGCTTCCTGTTTGCGGACCGCGACGAGATCGACCGCATCGTCACCACAATTTACCGCACCATCCAGGGCGTCGAGGACATGTACATGCGTCCGGCCTGCTGGGACAACCTCGTCTTCGTCGGCAACGGCTCGCGCCTGCGCGGCCTCAAGGACAACATCCTGCAGACCCTGCACGCGCGCCACATCATCTCGCCGTCCACGGCCACAATGTTCACGTCCGAGCTGCCCTCCAACGTCGCCACGCCCGCCGGCACCGGCGCCCAGACGCCCGTGGGCAGCTTCGCCGGCGCGCCGCACCAGCTGTCCACCAGCAGCGTCAACCCGCTGCTCCAGGCCGCCACCACGGCCAGCACCTTTGGCATCCCCGGCAGGGACAACAACAACACCATCCAGGTCGCCACGGGGTCCACGCCCGCCGTCGGCTCCGAGGCTGCTGGACCCGCGAGCGGCCACCACTTCCACAGCCAGACGCCCACCAGCATCAAGACGATTGCCCTGCCGACGTACCTCAGCGAGTGGAGCAAGAATGGCTTCGAGGAGGCCATGTTCCTGGGCGCGCAGGTGGCTTCGAGGATAGCGTTTTGCCTGCACTCCAACATGGACGCCCAGGCTATCGAGGCGCAAAAGTCTATGAGCTTGAGCAGAGTAGACTACAAGTGAGTATTTACTGCTTTCCCCCCCCATGTATAACCACGTTATATTTCGATACTAACCAACCTTTCATCAACAGCGAACATGGCCCCAAGGGTATCCGAACACACTCCATGCTCAGCTAAACAAAGCAAGCCATAACCTATAACAATGTAACAAAAAAAAGAAAATTCTTCCATGTTTCATCTGGAGTTTTAACGGACGGCACGAAATTGGGCGTGTCTGGGTGAAATTGTAATAAGTGATACAAACAAAACCGGAGGGAGGGAGGGAGGATTTTGATAATTCCAGAGACGGGTAGATATAAATGTTCAGATACTTTTCTTCTTCTCTTTTCATCCGACGAGATATTTCTTTTCTACTGATAGGAGAATTAAAGGATACCATGAAATAAAACGCCTGAGCTACAGTAAATGATGATTCTGAAATCATCTTTTAATCTTTTTAAACAGGAAAAATAACGAGAATTATCCAATCCAACACGCAAACTAGCATATATAAATACATGTATCAACATGAGAGGTGTATCGTTTGCTTCCTTATTCAGGGCTTATGCAAAACATTCCCATGCAAATGTCTCTCCTTTTCACCCTATTGAAACAAAAGCTGGCTTCGCTCAAGGTATTACTATTCGGCTACGTTTGAGCCGTAGATGTCACGAATATACTTTCGTCCTCTTCTTCTCCATTAAAAGACAACATTGCCTGATCCATGTAATTTCGCCAAGAAACATGGAATGAGTGAGCATACGCCATTGTTGAACGGTTTCTAGCCCGCTGCGTTTCTGGCGGCAGCCTCTCGAGCTGCTGTATTCCAGTCCGTCTTCAACAGATAGGTATATTCAATCGTCGTAACCCTAACTCAAGTTAGTACTCGTAATTGACTCAAATCAACGTGTGCATCGCGGGGAGAAGGGAACGGGAACTTACAGGAATAAGCCCACGCTGACACCAGCCCATAGACCTTGCAATTTCCAGCCAAGTCCAAAGGCCAATGAGAGCGAAATGGGCAACGATATGGCATAGTACGAAATCAAATTCACAGGCCCGCCTATGCTCTGTTTGCCAATACCACGCAGCAGTCCGTGGGCACCAGCACTCGTGCAATCGAAGACTTGCATGACGGCGACAACAGGCAAAATGCTGGCGACAATTGAGATGACCGTCTCATCATCGGTGAAGAGCAGCGGTAAGTGGAAACGAAGGCTGCTGTAGAGGGTGAAATTGAGCAGTCCAAGGATGCAGTGGATGACAAAAGTCTGTGACAAAGTTAGTAAACCAAAAGCGACATACACGGCATTATGAAAAGAACATACCACTTTGCCAGTCACCCTAGCCGCGTCGACAAGCCCGGCTCCAATCAAGTTGGCGACACGGGTAGAGGCAGCAATGGACATTGGGAAGGGGATCTGGTATGAGATGGACGCAATTGTCGAGACAACGCTCTGGGCCGCCAGGTAATCAGATCCAAAGCGGCTGGCCAATAGGGTCAGGATCTCGAAAGCGAGCCACTCGGCTTCGACCATGATCATCCCCGGCAGCGCCAGCTTTATCATAACCCACCAATTGGTAAGCGCGCGCTTGCTGAAGCCGCCCCAGCATTCTCGGCCGTTGACAAATCGCACGTAACAGAAGAGGAGCACCGGCAGGATATTCTCCGTGATGGCAACGGCCATGGGTGCACCGACGAAGCCATACTCGAGCTTCCAGACGAGCAACCAAGTGAGAAAGACGTTGAAGGGAGCAGCAAACAGGAGGACATACGTGGTGGCCTGGAAGAGGCCCTGCGCCTGGGTGAAGCGCTTGCCGCACTCAAAGAGGATGACACCAGGAATCGCAAAGATCATGACTCTCAGGTAGAGGCCGGCAAGTCGAGCAGACTCGGGGTTGGGCACCATGCGCTGTAAAATGGGCTCGGCTCCGAAAAGCCAGAGGATGATTACGGGTACAGAAAGAGTCAGTAGGAAGCATGCCATGCGCTGGCACTGCAAGCCGACCAGATGCTTGTGGCCAGATCCGTAAGCCTGAGCACACAGAGTATCTAAACTGGTGGCTAAGCCTTGGAACGGGGCCAAGCAGGAGATGGCTTGCGACATGTTGGCCACTGATTCAAGTTAGTCTCCCTATTCCTCGCTATTCCACTTTCCTGATGTTGAAAAACTTACATGATATGGCCCCCAGCTCGATGGTGCCAATGCGACCAACGGCAAAGATACCCGCCACGTTGATTGAGTATTGCAGGAAAAAGGTGACGATAAGAGGTCCACAATAGGACAAAACCGTCTTGACTTCACGCTGCCATGTCGTGCGAATCCGTCCGGAAGTAATAGCCTCTTCCCACTGCTCATCCACGTCTTCCTCTCCCTCTACAGCGGATCGCTGTCGCCGGGCTTGTGTGCCGTAATCACGGTCTGGATCACGGGAAAGTAGCGGCTCGTCCTCGTCGGTCTCGTCGCCAGATTCCTCGACGGGAACTTTTGTGCTGAACATCTTTCGGTACATTCGAGCGGGCAGCGACTGGCTCTTGTTGGCGTGTTTCGGCGGGAGGACGTGGTTGTCTCGCAGGAGGCTGCGCTCGGCGTCGCGAGATTGCTTTCGCTCCAGCGGCGTCAAGATGGGCTCCTCCAGTCCGCTGGGATTGAAGGCAGGCCGCGCTGCTCCGTAGGCCACGCCGCTGGGCCGGCGGTACATGAAGTGGTGAGGCTGGTCGGGATCGAGCAGATCATCGGCGGGGTCAAAGTCGTCGTCGGAGCAGGCTGCGATGTCTTGCGCCAGGACCTGCTCGGCAAGAGGCGAGCCCGAGCGGAACGAGGACGAAAAGGCCGGGTGCTCAAGGCCAGAGGGCCCAGAGCTGCCGTTGGGTGCGCGACTCATTGTGGCTATGGTTTGTCTCTTCTACAGAGAGACGATGGAAGAGACAGGGAATGAATATTTCATGTATTTTTTCTTGGTTTCAACGTCCGTTGTTTCGGAAGAAAAGGCTACTATCGGCTGAGGTCTCAACTATAAGAGCTCTGTTCAGCTCCCCTGCTCTAGATATTTCCAGGCCTCGTTGAGTCACACAGCGTCTGCGGATCGTACAACTAAGGGAAAAAATCGGAGAAATGTATAGAGAAGAGGCGATTTGTACGAGACAAGTGGTGAGTAGTTGAGGTCTCAATGTTGAACCGAGCGACGGGCAAAGCGCCACCGACAGAAGACGAGAGGTTGGAAGGAAAAAAAGCTTCTCGTAATCGGCGCTCGTCCACTTCGGTGTGCGCCCAACTGGCAGCACAGCACACCGATGGAGAGGGGAACAGAAGAAGATGCCGAAAGGTCAAAGGAAGAAAAACTCTCTTCTGGCGCAGCAAACAGCTGGAAGCAAAGGTTCGACAAAGGGAAGAAAGAAGCTCGACAGAGGAAAGGAAAGAGGAAAAGAATGACAAAAGGTGAGATGATGAGCCAGAACGGAAGCGACGCCGCAGCCACGAAGCGCACGGCTAGTACAAGTAGGTACTGCTAGTATGGCCAGACGGTGGCACAGAGACAAAGCTACGGCGCATCGGTACTAGCAGCTGCTGCTCCCAAGAGCCTTTCGAGGCAAAGTCGATGCAAAAATCCTGGTGCTGGGACCGCTACGGCGGGCTAGCGGTGGTTCCCCGTAAAACTAACGTGCTCCATCCGGCCTGTTCAAGGTAGCATCGCCGCCAGCTTTGGTGGACAAGTCGCCATCGAGCTGCGGAAAAACGAGGCCAGTCCACTAATTCTGACTGCGTTTGGCTGCTACAGAATACGGGGCGGAGCGGTGCCGTAGCGGACGACGCAAGGAACTCGTGCGATGCTTGACCAACAGGTAGCATTGGCGCAACCACACGGAGCGTCGATTCCAGGCAGATATTTACATAAGGTAAGTAGCACTATAACGTGAAATACGCTTGTTTCAAGCCGGCTGTATGTGCACTTGAAGTAGATAGGTACAGTAGTAAGGTAGATAGAATATACACCATTGGCGGTACAAGCTGCGTGATCGCGCCCTTCACGCCCTACCTCATGTATCTACTTGTAGTCTTCCCGGTCCCATCTGGCATAAGATCGGCCGATGTTGATCCGATTAGGCGGGCGGCTAATCCGAACGGAAAGAGGAAAAAGTCGTGCCCAGCACGTGTGCGGCCAACTTTTAGGCTCTTATAGCGCTTTTCTAGCTTCAATTCTTCCATGTCTCGGGCCGGCTTAATTAGTGGAGGAGATGGCAGTGTCTCACAGCATACACGTACCAAGAGCAGTAAGCCGGAGGTAATATGTTGCAGCTGGGTGACTAACCAAAAGTCGATATTACGTCTTCCAGTCTCAGAGTCTTGACTCATTCAAGTGCAAACATTCACTGCTCATCAATATGCAGCACTAAAGCCTGGTCTGCTTTCTCATACTTACAACTTGTTCAGACACAGCTCACTGCAAATATAGATGTAAACCTAGGTAGGTATAAATTGAGTAAATAGACATCTCTCTCGCTCATTCAGTGCGCAAACGTTAAAGCTGTACTCTACACAGCCATGGAGTATGTTGCAAAGTCAAACATTAGCAGCCAAGGTCCGCATCTGTCCAGCAGCTCACTCCCAAAGCAGGCAATAGATAGGCAAGAGAAGTGAAGAGGTCAAAGCAGCGGGCAAGGTCAAAGTTGTAGTTGGGCAGAATCATCCGCGCCACGTCAGCTGTCAGGCCTGATCGCATATACCTTTACATGCTCATGCATAACTGTTGCCGACACATGTGTGGATTTGAGAGTGAAGGCCATTCTTGTCTCTTCATACTTCTGCAAACCTTTCCGCTGGCTGGGTGGATACATTTGTTTTACACGGATCAATCACAGGCTGAAGTACATCTTTTGCCCTATTTTGGGTGCAATGCATGCCAAGATGGATCCGGATCTACCCAGACGCCCATCACCGCTATCATGGCAACGAATCCGCCCAAATAGCGAGCCTTGTCCCAGCCCAGACCCTTTGTAGTCTCTGATCTGTTGCTTAGCTCTTCTTTAATGTTGAAATGAAATATGTTACTTATTCATTGATGAATACATGTGGCTACATAAGGTACACTATTATTTGTCAAGTCCAAATCCGTGTGCCTTCTCCATGATTCAGAGTCTTGCCCGGTCGCCAAAATAAAGTAACGGGAGCTGCTGCGGGAGCTGCCGAGCAGCCCCACTTAAACACCACTAATGCCATCACCTACACAGGTACATATGTACGTGGCTCACCATTTACCAAAGCTGCTACCGTTTCATTTGCAATCATCATATCATCATCGCAATATGCCTGCGATGGCTTTGTATTATGAATACCAATATGCAAAGAAAAGTGAAACCTCCTTTCCAGAAACCCATCCGCACAACAGCAAGCCGAAATATATATGCCACCCCTCAGAAAGTTTTTGTCCTAGCAGTACTCAGCCGTTAATTAGCATCTTGTCATTTGTATTTTGACAAGAGGACATCTTACACTTTGTTAAGCACAACTTATATACTAGTAGTAGGACTCGAGCTTTAATATAGTTCAATGACCGCGTGCAGACTAGCAAGGTGCTTGCGCATCTCTTGACTTTCCTCCTCCTTGATCGAAATAGCGTCTTCCTCAGCACGGCAGCGTCGTTGTAGAACTAAGATAATACCTTGATTCAAAAGAGGTTCATTTTCGTATAGTCTAATAACGGTGTGAAGACTAGCAAGGCGCTCGCGTCCGCCTTGGCACTCTTTTTCCTTTCTGAGAAGAGCCTCCTCCTCCGTTCGGGAGCGCGTCTGCAGTTTCGAGATCACATCTTGATTCTGCAACGTTATGACACTTGATATCGCTGTGTCGTCTGCCCTCGCAACGGGGCTGCTCTCTTGATGAATAGAATGGGCGTTTGTAGTATCATCGGGCGTGGAGACAGTCATGGTTGAAGTGCTTGCCGAGCTCTGGTTCCAAGAAATTGCCCGCACTCGGCCCTTGCATGAATTCATCTCATGTTTTTTCAATTTGTCACGCCTTTTGAATCCGTGGCCCTTCTGAGACTTCTTACAACCCATGCTTGGGCAGAGGTACTCGTCTATTCTTGCGGCGTGCTTTTCATTCCTATGGCGCCTCAAGACGTCTGATCTGGCAAATGTCTTATTGCAGTCTCTGCATTTGAAAGGGGCTTGTTTCTGTCTATAAATTCTGTTGTATGTCAGCAATCAGCAAGCCCCTAACAAGATGGCGAGATCCTGACCTATTCTCAGAGAAGGTGGTGTCTGTAGTTTGATTCATAATGTCTGCATCTGTTTGAGATTGCTGGTGATATTCAGGACAAGTCATGTGAATAGCGGTTGAAGTGGCATCAGCAGTAGACTGGATACTGTCTGCCAATTCACTGTGCGTATGTGTCGTCGCAAATAACGGAATGGCAATCGTTGATACACTGGCCATGCTACCGTGGGCAACTGCTTCGGTCTGACTTGGCTCTGCCATATAGGTACTTTCCCAATTACGCGTGTATGCAGTGGTAGACGTGTCTTGTAAGAGATCCAAGACAGAAATAATCGCGCCGTCGGCCAAAATTGTAGGCAAACCCGTGCCAATATCATTTCCTAACTAGTCCCCAATCTTGTCGTCAGCCGCCAATGAGAGGGTCATGTATCTATCGATACTTACCTTGAAGATTCAGAAGCTGTACATACCGGTCAAGAGGAATAAGTAGTGCAGATTCCTCTTACCGATAAAGCCATTCAAAGTAGGCATAAATGTTTCCCCTAGTAAGGGTCCATAGACTGGAAATCCGTCTAGACAGAGGCGAAAGCAACGCTCCCGTTCCTCCTCGCCGTCGAGATCAATGGAGCTTTCCTTGTCCATTGTCTAGAAGAGTAAAGCGCCAAATATGGCGACTTTATATTGCGGAGTTGTATGGGTTGTATTATAACCCGTATCTTCAATCATCCGGATCTCCAATGGTCCTGATCTCCAATGGTCCTGATCTCCAATGGTCTGTATCTCCAATGGTCCGTATCTTCAATTGTCCGTATATTTAATGGCAGTAGAATCCCGAATTGCACGACTGTATCAACAGCGATTGTGTTACACTACACCAGCTAGAATCTTTGTACAAGAGTACATGTAGTCAGGTAGATAGGTAGGTTCTCGTATATGGGTACCTGGAGGACTGGATCGACCTCATCCGGCACCATACCGCATGTGACGAGAAATTCTCGAATAGTCAGCGTTTTCTTCGTGGAAACAAATATAGAGGAAGCCACTGCTTGTATAAGAGGAGCCAAATATGCCGGCTCTATCGCAAAAATGGCAACCGTGTTTACCAATTGTGATAGCAAAACATGAAGTTGAGATTTGAGAGTGATTTGACGAGAGGATTAGGTGCCTTATATGGCTTTTTGGCGACCCAATCCTCGGGGTGCAAGCGGGGGTGGTGGCTTTGCCCTCAGGGTGGTGGCTGGACTTCACAAAGGTGGCGGACCCGAAGGCAGGGGTTGTATGAGGCGGTTGCATGGGGTGGAAAGGCTGCCCTTCCCGCAGTATGGGGGTGGATTCGCCCTTTTGGGGTGTTTTGGTGATTGAATTCGGAATTGGCCCTGCGATGTTGTCTCTCAGTGGTCAGTCCTAGTTGATACATAGTGGTAATACCAGCAGTGCTCACTAGCTGTAAGTTTAAAGCAGCAACTTTTGATGGATGGTCAATAAACAAGCGTGGTATCTCCTCCTTTGTTGTTATTCGCTCGCAACATGAAGTTCCTATCGGGGCGGCATCAGAGCGATGTTTGATCGCTGTTCTCCTGTAAGATATTGTCATAATATATAGAAGTCATGACCCTTTACACGACGGATTCCATTTGATCCGGTCTTTTGTACCTCACTCGTGTACATAACAATAAGCCGCCAAAGCCATCCTTGTATTCTCAATATCTTACACAAACGCTCAGGTAGTACTGTACAGCAAGAGATGGAGAACACTCAAGGACTCTCCCAATCATCTTGTCAGACTTTTGTAGAGAGGTATTCACGAGATTTCCTTCATTTTCTCCTTTCTCTTTGTTTCGCCCCTTTTTCGAGCTGCTCTTAGCCAAATCAGAGCTTCTGATCCTCACGTATATTGTAGCTAATTTTTTTTTTTGTTAGTCAGAGCACCGAGAAGCGGGAGCGTCAAGAGCTATCTTGCAATCGTGTTGAAAGCTATAAGCCAGACAATGTAAACGCTCGTATTTTATTCAGTGAGCCTGCCTCACCCGAAAACATCTCAAATCGTGAGGCCAGTTTAAGAGCCAACGTCGAAAGGCTAGCCAGCATCATTAAAGGAAACAGAAAAGTCTCACCATGAAGTTGAAGGAAAAAAGGGCCATGGGCTAATAGTAAGCTCAATGCACTGCTATATGGAGATACGGTTTTTTGGAAGCTGGTTAGGTTATACAGTACTTATCACCTATATCGATGCTTCGCTTTTAACTTGCAGGCAGCACCTTTTCCCGCTAAAACCCAAATCTGGCTCCCTACTCAGCCTAAGCATTGCCATTAGCATTGCTGCTCGGGTATGTCCACATGACGCCCTTCCGATCAGGCTCAGGGTGGGCCGCGGTTGCAGCCCAAGGCACTTCGCGCCTCTCGTAGGCCTGCAGAGGCATGCTGTAAGGTATCCGAAGGCTCACGATGGGTCTCTGTGCCTGTGAAGACATGTCCACTGTATCTGACTGGAACGAGCTTAACATGACCCCATCTTTCCAGAACAAGCCCGGCCACACCAGCACGCCAACCTCCCAGGAAGCGATCCGAAATTCCCCGGTACTACTGGGCTTCAGGGTCTCGCCCCACGCTTGCTTCGACATATTTGCCGACGTTAGCATGGCCCAGTCAATTGCAGTGTTACGATTGAACCGGATATATGTTTTGATGTGTGGCGCAGCACGATTTCGCCCACCATCGCCCCGGATAGGTGCATCTAAGATAAGCTCTATCCAAGGTATCAGCTCAAGCTTAGAAGACGTACAAACAATACATTCATATCTCTTCACAAATAGTCGTGTTCATTCACCTGGGATTGGAAGATTGGTGCGGAAATGGAAAAGAATATAACAAGCAAAACTAAACAACTGTCAATACTCACTTGCTCCATCTTTACTGTCATTGGCCCAGTGATGCAACATTGGATGGAGATAGCTTAGCTGGCTGACATGTTGTGCCGATTGGATCTTGGTATGGATGGAATTTCCCGAGGCATATCCATCCAGTGAATTCCGGATCTCGTCTGCTGTGGGGAAAATAACCTTGAAGCTCGGCCTATTCGTTGGAGTGAGAGATGTAGCCAGTGAATCGAAGAGCGTGCGTTGTAGCCAATCATTCTGGGCACCAAGCGTCGCAATGGAGGATATTTGGACGACGATTGTTGAGTCTCCTGGTTCGACGGGTACGCCCTGCAGACACCTCTGCAGTCCGGCCCAGCCCCAAGCAGGCTGAGAAGCATTGCGAAAGCCATGTTTCCCTGGAACACTGGCAATGAATGCTGCCCGTATGCTGGAAAAGTCAAAGTGGCCGAGGTGATCTGCTAGTGGCTTACAAATGACTTTGTAGGAGTCATATTTCATCAAATATGATAGCAGATCCGCCTTGAATCTTAGGCCGCTGCCAACGGGAAGTGTTTGTCCGTCCTGGGATATAATATCCGGCACCGTTGACAACGGGAGTTTTGGCGATTTCCACACCGCATTGGTCATATTGGTCCAGTCTTTCGGGATCATGTTTGCTGTGTGAATTATGATTTGGGCCGTGTTGTCGGCGCGAAACAAAATCATCATCTTGGAGTGGTGTGTCCCAAACATTTCCGGCATGGGTGCGCAATGCAAAGCAACGTTGGGGTATCGGCTTGCGGCATCCTAGATCATTTCAAACGTGAGAAAAGTGATTGCATCAGTCGAATCTTGATTCAGAAAAGCATTCTTTGTAAGAATCAAAGAGAGAGGGGAGGAGGGAAGACGGAATATTTGAGCGTGCAGTGTTATATGTTTGCAGTGGCAACGAAAATCATGGCCTACCGAAAGATGAATTCTGTTCAAGTCGCTTCTCTTCCAGAATCCATGAACTACATGCAACCGAATTGAGTCCCTGACGCTTTCATCAAAGGCATTCATGACAAAGGGGATGTCGTGCAGAAAGTTGAACTGCCAGCACTCGCGAATCAGGGGATCGCCAAGAAGGTCTTGGAGCGAAACGGTATCCTTGTTTACTTCGTCTGGGAGATCTCGAATCCGGGTGAGCTGCCATGGCGATTTCTGTATATTTGATCGACGAAACTTCTTGCGTGGTGGACTGATGGGTCGCGAAAGGGATTTTAGAGAATCAAATCCGTTGCTTTCATCACCATCAGCGCCGTTTCTTGAACGCTTGCGAGCAAAGGCCATGCTCCCAGGGTAAGGCTGCCAGACTCGACACTGGTTCACGCTGCTTATTGTTTGATGACAGAAGGAGATGATGGGAGGAGACTTGAATAAACGAGTGTTGCAGCGCATCAAAGAGAAAAGGAAGAGTAGAATCAATTGCTGTGGCTGGTAATTCAACTTATCTTCACTGTGTTATTCTTGTATTTGAAAAGGTATATCTCCCAAGGTGTGCTGGAGCATTAAGACGGAGGTAGGAGGTACCTAGGTACAAGTTGTTGTATCTTCCTGCCCATCGCAGATTCCCAGCAGGCAGCCACAGGCTAGTGCCAAATGCGGCAGTCAAGCCACACCACTCGCCTCACCGCGCTGTGGCGCTAATTTTGTTGCAAACGCAACCACTTCGTCTCGTCTCAGGCTCCGTATTTCCAATCTCTCCTTGGACGTGTTAGAGGCTATCATCTCCAGCGTGGGCTCGCATTTCAGCACGCGCCTCCATCTGGCCCAATCGCCGAATCACGGGCTCTCCAGGCATCGCCGGGGCTGCTCGCCGCAATCAGCATTTGTTTGCCAATACATACTTGCGACAGTCCATTCTCGCGGATGGATCGATTATCCTTTTAGATCTGATATCCCAATCATCGCGTTATCTGCGCCCGCCTTGCCCATATTTCTTTATCTCTCAGCGCCTTGAAGGCTGCTTTGCATCTAGCTCACCATGCGGCTGACCTCTTCTACTCTGCTCTCTGGCCTTGCTGCCTTTGGGCTGTTTGGATCCTTTGTAGCCGCCGCCGATGAGGATTCAAAGGCTCCGAAAGAGACTTACTTCGACTCTCTTCCGGTACCCCCCCTTGTGGAACTGACTCCCAAAAACTTTGAAGAGGTGGCGAACCAAACAAAATGGCTACTTGTGAAGCATTATAGGTATAACACCACCGCCTCCCCTCCTTCGCGCATCGCTGCCATCTACCAGTTGGAGTTGCTTGCTAACCTGCTCCAGCCCCTTTTGCCACCACTGCCTGGCGTACGCCCCGACCTTCCAGACTGCATACGAGTTCTACTACACATCTAAGCCAGAAGAGGCTGGCGAGAAGGACTTCACCAAGTTCTACGACTTCAAATTCGCCTCCATCAACTGCATTGCTTTTAGCGACCTTTGTGTTCAGCATGGCATCAAATTATACCCCACCACAACCCTCTATGAAGAGGGCAAAGAGGCCCGAAGCGAGACGGGTGGCTTGAACATCACCTTCCTCTCTAGCATTATCGAAGAATCCTTGGAAAAGTCGAAGCCTGGCAGCCGACCGAAAACTCTTGATCTGCCTAAAGCAGGGGAAAACAAGCGCCCTGCGGTCGATCCGAAACGAGCGACAGAGGTTGAGACCGGCAAGGCACCCAAGAAGCCTGTTGCTACAGCAAATGAAGAGGGAACGTCGGTAGCCTTGACGGCTGAGAATTTCCAGCGTCTGGTGACAATGACCCAAGATCCCTGGTTCATCAAGTTTTATGCTCCTTGGTGCCCTCACTGTCAAGATATGGCGCCTACCTGGGAACAGCTGGCCAAGACCATGAAGGGCAAGCTGAACATTGGAGAAGTCAACTGTGACAAGGAGTCGCGTCTGTGCAAGGATGTCGGTGCTCGGGCCTACCCCACGATTCTCTTTTTCAAGGGTGGTGAGCGTTCCGAGTATGAGGGGCTTCGAGGCCTGGGTGACTTCATTCAGTATGCTGAAAAGGCCGTCGATCTCGCCAGCGGTGTTCCTGATGTCGACCTTGCGTCTTTCAAAGCTTTGGAGCAGAAAGAGGATGTCATCTTCGTCTACTTTTATGATCATGCCACCACCTCCGAGGACTTCCAAGCCATTGAGAGGCTGCCCCTCAGCCTTATCGGGCATGCCAAACTTGTCAAGACCAAGGATCCCGCCATGTATGATCGCTTCAAGATCACCACCTGGCCGCGGTTTATGGTGTCGAGAGAAGGCCGCCCCACCTACTTCCCCCCTCTCACACCCAACGCTATGAGAGACACGAACCAAGTGTTGGATTGGATGAGATCGGTCTGGCTTCCTCTTGTCCCTGAACTATTGGTGACAAACGCGCGCCAGATTATGGATCACAAGATTGTTGTGCTGGGCGTCTTGAACCGAGACGACCAAGAATCTTTCCAGGGTGCCCTCCGAGAGATGAAGAGTGCAGCAAACGAGTGGATGGACAGACAGATCCAGGAATTCCAGCTGGAGAGGAAGAAGCTCCGGGATGCCAAGCAAATGAGAATTGAAGAAGCTGAAGACCGAGACGACCAGCGCGCCCTGCGAGCTGCCAAGGCCATCCATGTTGATATGAACAACTCTGGACGGAGGGAGATTGCCTTTGCCTGGGTCGACGGTGTTTCCTGGCAGCGCTGGATTCGCACCACCTATGGCATTGACGTCAAAGATGGAGAAAGAATCATTATTAATGACCAAGATGTAAGCCCGCCCCCCTTTCTAACCGCCTTTGCTTTCTCCTCCTGCGTTGAGACACAACTGATTACTAACAACAATTCGCGTAGAATCGAAAGTACTGGGACAACACCGTGACCGGCAACTACATTCTTGTCAGCCGCACATCCATCCTCGAGACCCTCGACAAGGTCGTTTACACCCCACAGGCTCTGAAGCCCAAGCTTACCATTTCTCCATTTGAAAAGGTGTTCTTTGATATCCGCCTCTCTTTCACTGATCACCCCTACCTGTCGCTTGGTTGCGTCGTTGGCATTGCCTTTGGCGTCTTCTCCTGGCTGCGTGGCCGCTCACGTCGTGGCCGTGGCCACTTCCGGCTGGAAGATTCTATCAGCATCAAGGACTTCAAAGAGGGGTTCCTTGGTAGTTCTAACGGCAACACCAAGGCTGACTGAAATGATGATGTGAAAAGATCATAAATTAATATTCTCTTATTCGGAGTTTTTTGGGGAGCGGTAAATGGGTTCGGCTAAAGGATCAAAGAGGAGGGCGCGCACGCATGGAGCTGTCAATGACTCTTCTGGTTCTCGAGAAAAGCTATGCGGGCTGTTTTTAAGGAATGCAAGTGATAAGGGGCTTATGGCCCTGCCGGGTTGAAATGTAGAAGACGGCTGGCTCAAATCTGACTCTGGTAGTAAAGATACACAAAGCCTTCGTCATTACTCATTTGGCCTTTAAAAGAATGAAAGGGTCTGGGAAGTTTCTCTGAGGAGATAGACGGGCAATCCATGTCTCTGTGCGTGTTATTGGTTTGGTTTGTGCTTTTGCATATCCTCTTTTTACATGTCATGTAATTACTAGGTGACTCTTGTTTAAATGTTTTGATATTGCATCATATCTACTGTAAATGGCCTGTCATATATTTTCATGCAGTCTATCACTCTCTACCGAACGACTCAACCTCTTTCCCTCAAGTGTAGAGCTCATCCGTCAGGCCGTTCAGCGTCAGACCCTCCTTGGCAATCTCTTCAACCTCAATCAAAAACTGCAAAGGCATCTCAATGAGGTTGCCACGGACGCGGCTGAGCCATTCCTTTAGCTCTTGCACGCCACCAGGGAATTCCTCGCGAACGACGTGTCCGTAAGGCACTTTTCCATCGTTGTCGTCGTCGTCTTTCTCCTCGTTCTCCTTGGCACTGGGGATGGTGAAGTACTTTGAGAAGAACTGATCGTAATCGTCCCAGTTGCGAACTTTATCGTCAGGAACAGGGTGGAACGCCCGGCTGAACACTTCGGTATTGGTGGCGGCCGTATCCTCCCAGAGCTGCAGGAAGTCAGGGCTCAGGGGGTCCTCCACGAGCCGGTCGGCAGAGGAACCCCAGTCGTAGTCGTTGGGTGCGTCGGTTACCGGCAGCCAGTTTCGGTTTGGCTGGTCCCATCTCTGGTCCGGGAGCAAACCGAGATGTTTGCGGAAGATTTGTCTTCGGAGAGAGGCGGCAAATTCGCTTGCTGCGTACTGCTCGCCATTCATGTACGAATCAACGGATTGAGGGCCCTCGATCACCACCGCAATCTCAGAGTCGTGGGTTCCGAGCTGCGAGCGATCGTTCAAGTTGGCAGAGCCGCAGATAACAAGACGGTCATCGGCAATGAGAAGCTTGGTATGAATGTAGAGCTGCTCGCTGACGAAGGCGTCGAACTCGTCCTCGGGCTCGCCATCCCATGGGATATCGGCGATATTGGGACCGTGTTTCATGTAGGCGGCACTCACGGTATCCAGAGTGTCATCCTTGACGGATTGAGCCTGGCGCTGGTATCTATCATAGTATTGAGAATCTTCGTCGTCTTGGCCATAACGCTCTTCGTTGACATAGTCGTCGTGATATCGTCGCGCGTCTTCATACCTGACTCCGGACTGGGACTCGACCTGTCGCATGGTTCGAGACGTGTTGATCCTGTCATAGTTTCGAAGGTTGTAAAAACCAATGTACTCCCTAGGATTTTGAATGCCGGCAGCAACAAGCTTTTGGATAATGGAATGGCCACCTCGGCTGATGGAGTTGTACTGGTATTCCATAATGGCCCTTGTTCCAAGAGCCTCCTTCGACTTCAAGTCTCCCGCAAAGGCGGGGACAGAGGGCATCACCACCCACACCTTGAAGGGCTGACCTTCTTCATACGCTCGAACGATACGGTCCACAATAGCTGCGCCGATCTTGTTGGAGACGGGGCGCTGTTCATCACTTGTAGCTGTGATGAAGAACTGGTTGAATCTCATGTTAACACCCTCTCCAGACTCTTCATGGCCGCACTTGTTTACTTACCTGATTCTCGATATACACAAAGTGCCTAGCATTCGTTATCGCACTTACATAAGCGTTCGCGATCGAATGCTCCGTTGGGTGGCCGGATGACCACTTGGTGCAACTGAAATGAGGCTTAGCAATCATCAGCTGTATAAATGTCAGCAATTTTTGCTTACCTTCGTGTAAGCTGAATGCGAGTAGCGCCTGAGCCCCCGCGTGCGTGAGAAGTCCTGTCATGGTGCTCATATTCATCAGAGCGATACTCTCGCTGGCCATCTTGAAGTCCCTCTCGCTGGCTGCGTCGATGGCCTTCGGAGAGGCCAAGATTTCCCATTTCCTCAGATAGGTGTTCTGCGAAGCGATGGAGCACGCCACGGCTCCGCCCTTCGCCCTCCTGCCGCCCATATTCTTCTCGTCCCGATCCCTCTTGTTCATATGTTTGGTGCGAAGGACGGTAGCTTCCGCCTAGCCTGAGCTTTTCATACTTTCCAGGATCTTTGTCGTTGTATTTTGCGTCGTATAAGTAGTTCCTAGCTCTGTTAATCAAAATAACAACGATGAAGCTTGGGATACTATCGCTCATACCATCTGTCAACAAAATGGGCTACAAGATCAGACACAATTGGGCCATTCATGGACAGAGCCACGTCTGACCAACCCATTCTCGAGCTCTTGGTTCGATCCACTACATAAGCTATCAGTTTTTGGAGCTCTGAGGTGTGAAAATAAGGATGACCTCACATTTGTTCTGATCCCAGTTGCCAACGTCAGCAAAGTCAAAAATTCGAGCGTTGTTATAGTCCTGGCCAGGGAAGATGATGTTGTCCAAGTTTCCAGGATGAGCATCGGCGATAGGATGGGCTGAATGTATGTCAGTGGAGGCTCTTCAGAGGTTACGATGCAAGTACCCACAGTTGGTATCCCATCGCCCGAAGCCTAAACATGCAATTAGCAAACAATTTCTCTGCGGACGTTAAGAAACAGTATAAGTGCATACAAAGATCGAGGCCTCCCATGAATACAAGGTCATGGTCGATGACAAGAAGCTTTTCATGGTGAGCCCAGTAGAGGACAACATCGTCCGCCGCGCCATAAATCGCCTTGAGTGCGTCTTTAGATACAGTGGCCAAGTCAAAGTTGGTTAAGCCTTTGAATGAGTTGCCAATTTCTGAAGTCAGATCGTATCCAGTAGGAACATGGTCAGGATGTCGGAAAACTTTGATATTAGGGTGCAGCTTCTCAAGAGCATGTTTGGTGTGCTATACATGTTGCGAATGAGCCACGAGATAACATCTCGGATGATGAATGAGAGTGAGATATTTGAGATGCATACCGCAGAATCAAGAGTGAGGGCAGCCTCAACTTCCTTGTACACAATAACATTGACTTGGACTCCACGTTCGGCGGCAGCTTGAAGCATGGCATCAAGGCGATACTGCTCGTTGCGAGAAGGGGGGCGGCGAAGATACAGCTCGGGGCTCAGCCACCAATCGAGAATATAGATACTCTCCTGGGCGCCTATGAAAAGAGAGGTCAACATCGATGAAATTGGCGCTTAGCTGATAGAACTCACGTTGAAGAGCTTCAGATACTGCCCAAAAGTAAGAGGCGCCATCAACGAACCACTTGATGTTGCCCGAAGAAGGGGCTGCAAAAGACTGAAACCGGTTGGCAGCATGTTCAGCGTGAAGATCATCGCACTGATAGCCCGCGTGTGAGTGAGAGTGTTTTTCAACGTTGGGTTCGCCCTCAAAGAAGGCCTCGACTCTATCGAGAAGACCCATGGTGCAGCTTTACGGATTGCTACGGCCTAGCAATCAGATACTAGCCAGAAGACGTGGCTTCAGAGAAAAGTTGGAGGCGGGGCCAGCCGTGGTAATAAGCAAAAGGGATAATGAGAGAAGAGAAAGAAGAAGAAAAGCTACGGAGCACAAGTGCTGTAAGTGGATTTGACGAAGCTTGAATCACGAAAAGTGGCCAAGAGCATGTGTGTGACGGCACGAGGTTTACATAGCAGATGATGAGAGTGATGAGGGGTGAGAGACCCTTGAATAGATGACAGGCCTAGCACGGAACTGTCAGAAATCATAGGGGGTCATGGTGCAACCTAGTCAAGTTGCGTGTTTGTTTGGACTGCATCGTATCACTGGTGGCCCAGAGCCGAAAGCCCCGTTTCTTATTGGGCTCAGTGGATCGAAGGACAATGCACGCACAGCCACTGACCCTCCGTTTGCGAGAGTCTTTGTGCCGGTGGCAGGCGTTTCTGAAAGGAGCGCGCGGCATTAATCGATACATGCTGGCTTGGTGCAGAGCAGATCAAAGGAAGAGCATTCCTTGGCGAGCTGATTGGCTGAGAGCCTAGTGAGAGCGGCCAATGCATCTAGACAGACAAAGCAACATGTTTCGAAGCAGAGCTGTAGAAGCTCCTTCGCGAAGCTGAGCTGGAGCTCCGGCATTAACGAGTCAGATGTGCGGGGTTACACAATGGAGCAGGGGATCGATGATTTGCTCCATCCTTGGCTACCGGTGCTGCCAAGCTGGTTAGCTGCTTCAACTGCATGAGCCAGGCCAGCGTGGTCCGGGATGCTCCAGGAGCGATAGTGCATCATCACTTTGCGTATAGGCAACAGGATTTGGAGCATCGGTTTGGGGAATCGTGGACCCTGGACAAGTGGCACTGCGATTTTGATGACAAGTAAAGCGTACAGTACGGAAGACGGAGTTATCTGTACGTGTATCCATAGCTTGGCGGGCTTATTTCAGCACTATCACCTGGCAGTATGGTTAGCATGAGCTTGAACAAACCACGCGATAAATACGATACTGTACATTACACACTGTATTTTCTTTCCATTGCCTAGGTACCTATCCGCTGGCCTTTGCACTCCACTCACTTTTTCTAGTTCTGAGAGGCGGAATGGTCAAGTGCAAGATATAGAGATGAGGATTGGAGTTGTAAAGAGGAAACGATGGAAATACGGCACCTCATCATCACGTGCAGCGCAACTGGCCAATATCAGCTAGATTCATATGATCCCCATACTACACGTACTTGATCATTCAGCTATCAGTCCTCGAAAGTTTCGGAGCTTTTATATACTAGCTCTAAACAGTATACTTCATTAAGTCTTGAATTGGCCATTGATGGTCATCGTCCAATTCTAAGCCTCATTTACATGTACTTTACAGAAGGACACATTGGGGTCAGTCTGTTCCAGTATCAAGATACCCCAGTAGCAAGGCCAGGAATATGTAAACTGCTATGTCTCTGTGGCAAAATAAGGGTTGGTAGGTAGTCCTATGGCATTACTGGTGCCTCGAATGGAACATCATTTCCATCATGTTCAAAGAGGCAGTAGTAATCTTTATAGAGTTTCAGCCGCGAAAACTGTTGACACCTCCTCTGTCAAATGCCATGAGGCAAAAACAGGAGTATTAGCTGCTTCATCAACAATGACACTGGTTTGTGAAAACCCTTTTACGACCGCACAAAGATATCATGTTATTGTATGGGTGCAACTGATCCTAGGCATATGGCACGGTGAAAAGCCTGAGGCATTTTTCCTTAGGCTCTGCGAAAGATGAAAATATGTACACAGCAGAGGTCTGGCTACCTATGGCCGGTGCCTGGTTCGTATAAGTGCTCGACCAGACCTTGCTACAAGTCGGAGACAGAAAACCAACATATATTTGCGGTGAAAACAACAATTTTGAGTATTAACTGATTATATAAAACTGTCACACCCAAAATAAGTTGGCAGAATGTTGGCTAGAGAGAAATTAGAGAAAGCAGGAGAATGCACGTATGAGACTTTAATAGTCTGATGCAGGCGACGAGGAGTCGATGCACCGAATTTAGATTCCCTGTAGAAAAATTACTACCAGCCTCTGCGCGATTTGATTCATAAGAGCAAGGAAGTTTTACGTCATGCTTATTCTTGCAGATGGTGGTAAACGAGCCAGGCAAGGCAGAAGATGATGGTGATGATGGTATCAAACATCAGATGACAACATGAACTCGGATGAGGTTGGACCGACCTGCAAAACATCCATCCATTCATCGTTATAGCGACCGTCAGGCTCTAGGCCCCTTGAGGCGACAGGCATTAGCGCGCCCTCAGGCCTCCCATTACGGCACCTCGGCGCTGCAGGACGCTCCAACTTCGCTAATTAGCCTCAAGCTAGGTGCCATCCCATGTAAGGTACAGGCACGATGACGATGCTGCTGTGCACTGAGAAATTCTCGCTTGCCGGGGGCTCGAAGATTGCAATTGCCTCCAACAAGCAGAATAACAGGGACACGTCAAATCGCTCATAGGCTGGATCGAGCTTGAGAGATATTTATCGATATATATTCTGATACATCAAGAGAGCATCTTTCGCTCCAGTTTCATTGCTGCTGAGCTTAATGGGCATCCTTCTCTCAGCTTAAAATATACCTGAAAGCAGTTGAACACTGTGACATCAGTGTTAGATACATGTAGGTTCGCCCAATTTTCACTGATATCTATATCCCTTTTTGGATTCCTTTCGTGCCGTGAGTTCTTATTTTTAGCGAAATATGCGAAGAAAGAGTTGTTTCAAAGCGAAGAATATTCAACGTTCATGTTTCACTGCATGAGGTTTAAGGTTGACGAGATTGCTAGGAAAACTTTTTTCTCTTTTTAACCTTTTCACCGCCATACTTCTGCAGGGCGTTGAGTCTCATCTCCGTCAGCTCCAGAAAGCAAAAAGCATATTTACCTACATATTCGTCTTCGTCTTCCATTGAAACTTTGAGCTTTTTTATTGTTCACACTCAGTTACATTTTCCCCTTAATATCTCCCTTCTCTTTCCAGTGTCATACTCCATTCGATTCATCAACTTATAAAATGTCCTCTACGCCGGGCATCATCGTTCCCTTCGAGCTATCAGCGCACTCTCATCTCGTTCCTTACCTCGCGGCGCTTCATGCTTCATGTATCACACATGATCACACAATCGCCACCTTTCTGCTGCCGCTGTCACACGAGAAGCTGCTAGCTTGGTGGAAAGAACGCATTGGGGAGACAAATGGAGAGAAGAGGGTGATGCTGCTTCTGGTGAGCGACCTCGATCCAAACGGCGCCATCAGAGGCCCAGAAATCAAAGGAGTCGTCATGCTATGGATGCCATATTCAGAGACGGGCTCGTTCCGAGGCTTTGTAGAAAATCTCCTTGTGCATAAGTCACATCGAGGCAAAGGTGGCGCGAAGGTATTGATGAACGCGATAGAAGCGCAAGCTTTGAATCGTGGTAGAACGTTACTGGTAGGCATCAGCTATCTTGTATTCTCATCCATCACTGTCCCCCAGAAGAGCTTCAAAGAACAGCACGCATTGGCATGATGACACGACACTAACTTGTCTTATTAGCTGCTTGACACCGAGAGCGGCAGCCAGGCAGAGGCCGTTTTCAAGACTCTTGGTTACACCGAGCTTGGAAAAGTCCCAGGATACGGCATGAGCCCGGCAGGAGGTTTAAAAGATGGCACATTCTTCTATAAGACGCTTCAGCTATGACGAGAGGATCACGACGCCAACCAGCATTAGATGGGAGAAATCGTTTTAGCGAAGGAATTGTATAATACATAGGTATTCATGAATAAGACAGACTTGGCGTTTTTTTTTTTTTTTTTTTTGGACACGGATTTGGCGATTTCCAACGAATAGCAAGTCTCCAAGGTCACTTTTGCGATGCCACGTGGGTGTAGGAATGCATGTAACCGCGTGTTATAGGCTAATGCACGATTAACCTGTAGCTGGTCGATGAGATTTTGGGACTGGCAACGGTTGAGATTCTCTTCCCGTTTTCGACTTTCGGTGAGAGAATAGAGGAAGGCTGGTTCTCTTTTTCAGAGAGTCTGAATAGACAGACAGTGTGTACGATTTTTGTTTTTAAGCTTGAATTATTCTTAATTTGATACAAGATGTATATCACTAACAACCTATTAAATGATAGAATAAGATGGTCACAGCGTTTATCTACCTATATATTTTAACTGAGCAGCACGAAGAGCTGTCCATTCACATTATGTATATGCAGCCTCAATGGAATTGATCTAAGCGCAAACAAGCCAAGGCTTTGAATGAGAGACAATCTTGCACATGCTCCGTTGGTGGCGCGTCAAGCTATCAAAAGTTCCGAGACGAAAAAAAAAGATCCTCTACCGGAGGACGCCGTCATTGAAAACAATCCCTGTCCGCGCATACGCAGAATCGCTCTTATTCGCCGCTTCTTTGCCCTCTCAACTAGGGTCTCGGCACCGTGCCTGGTAGACAAGAGCAGGCCTTGCTCAATACGGCATGTCAAAAAGGGCATTTTGAAGCGATTTTCTCTTGTTTGTTCGCCCTCTATACCGACTGACAAGGATGGCGGTGGGAACGGGCGTCAATTATAGGCATAGGAGCTGCAGGCCTTGTCCTGTATATAATCTGGAGAGGTGCATCCCTCCAACAAGGGAGAGCCTACATATAAAGCCATGGGTGCGCCTGAGCTGCAGACGCTGATCTTCTTCTTCTTCTTTTCCCTCTTGTCTGCCTCTTTTTAGTTCCAGATCGTAGCTCGTTCTAGGTTTGGCCTAAAGAATTGAGAACCGACATCCCACAGCTCGAAGTTATGCATCGCAACACCATTGCCGTGCTTGCTGGCGCCCAGCTTGCTGCTGCTGGCCTGTATCCCGGCATCACGTCCGACAATCACACTTGTGCATTGGGTATGTATTCATAAGCTCTATTGCCCGTTAAGTTTACTGTTACTGAAAACTGACTGCGCACAGCTGACCCTGTCCTGTCTTGCTCCAAAGGCGCTGTCCCCGGAAAGGTGGACACCTGCTGGTATGTAACAGGACAAAACATAAACTCAAACCTTCGAAATTAGAAATTTTATAATAATCATACTTCTAGCGTCGAGACATTTGGAGGTTTAGTGGTGCGTATCAGCGATTTACGATTACACCCAAACATCAACTCTACATAGCTTAACTGCTAAGGATATTGACTGATTGGAATTGCAGCTCCAAACCCAGTTCTGGGATACTCAGTCCGGCTTCGAAAGCCAAGGACAGAGATACCCCGAAAACACATGGACAATTCATGGATTATGGCCCGGTATGATTCGCCGCTATACGCATCTCTTTCGCCAATTGTGAAGCTCCAGGAGCTAACAGCTTGACCAGATTTTTGCAATGGAAGCTACACTCAGTACTGCGACCTAAGGTATGCCCTGCTGGCCCTCAAGAATTACGATTGGCACATGTATTAATCCTTTCATTTATTATATAGCCGCCAATATGACCCTCACCCTGCTCCCAACACAACCGACGGCACTCCTCATGGAACTCCCGTCCCTCCGTACACCGGTCCCTCGATCGAGACCTTCTTCGAGCCATACGGAAAGATGGACCTCCTCGCTTACATGAAGAAGTACTGGGTCAACCAGGGCGCTCCTAGCTGGGAGCTGTGGGCTCACGAGTTCTCCAAGCACGCCACCTGCTACTCTACCTTTCAAAAGGAGTGCTACGTATGACTCTCCTTACGACCCGTCCATATATACCAATCCTCCAGCTGACAATAATATCATACAGGGACCCAAAGCCAGCGAATACGACGACCTCTTCCAATTCTACGAGACCGTCATTTCTTACTACAAGACCCTCCCCACCTGGCGCTGGCTCTCCGCCTCCAACATCCACCCCTCCAACAGGACCTCCTACACACTTTCTCACATTCAAGCCGCGCTGACCCGCGAGTACGGCGTAATTCCCTACCTCGGCTGCGGCGGTCCCAAGTACAACGAGACAAAAGCCGGCAAGGGTTCTCGTGACAACGGCGGCACGCAGCTGAACGAGGTGTGGTACTACTATCACGTCTATGGCGCTCCCCAGCAGAACCAGGCCCTGCGAGTGCCTGCTGATATTGCCGGCGGTTCGCTGACAAGTTGTGCCAAGACTCCGGGCGCCATTTGGTATTATGAGCGCGCTCCGGGTAGTGAGACGAAATAGAACAGGGCTGGGAGTAAGAACAAAAGACACGGAATAGAAGAAGAATGAAATGAAGAAAAATGATGACCCTGTCCATAGATAAATCGTACAAACGCCTGCTCCATATTAGAGCATCATGGAATAGACTCTTAACTGCCAATGAAATCCCTTTTTGCTACTCTTCCTGCCCTCATCTCACACCGCGAGCAGTTGTACTGATGATAAAGCTCCAATACACGCCACGCTCTCTCAACGAGCGCAACCCATCCCAGCCCTTTTCTACAAATACACATTTCTTCTCTTCATTCATCGTCCGCTAATTCCTCCACCTTAGGGGCCTCGTAAGCCTTTTGCTGCTGGGGAGCAACGTCAAGCTGTGTGTCGGTGCCTGTTGTCGTTGCAGTAGTCGGTGCGATTTGTCCAGTAGCCGCGGCCATGACAGAGTTTGTTGCAACAGCCTTTGACTTCTTCTTCTTCTTTGGCTTCTCAGTCTGGGAATAAGGGGGTTAGACGCTGTTATTTTTTGTGTGTGTCGGAATGAGAAGAGAGTAGCTTACCTCATGCCAAGCCCAAACTGGTCGGAAACTGTCCATAAAAGAGACATCTTCCCAGAGGTTGGGATACAGCCAGAGACCAGGAGGCACAGCAAAGTATGTAATGCAGAACAGGATAACACGGAAGATAGCCATAGCGAAGAAGAGACCAAGAAGACCAAGCATGCCCCAGCTCAGGTAGTAAACGCCCTGTCGCAGCTTCAACGGCCACAGAGGGTACAGCACAACGATGAAGATGATGACCAGAGCCAGGGCGGCATACAGTTGGCGCTTGACCTGGCTGCCCTCCCAAAGCCACACGTAATACATGTCCTCCTTGGCCTCTTGCTGCTGCTCTATCCTGACGTTCCACTGGCCCTTGACACGCTTGGGCTTCTTGCCGTTGGGACCGGGCTGTAGCTCGAGCTTGGTGACTCTTAGCGCAAGCATGCTGAGAGGCAGCAGCTTAAAGGTGTTCTCTAGAGACGCCCGGTCGGTGATTTCTGGCAGCAGAGGATTCTTCTTTCGAGCCTTTTCATAAGCAGGAGACTGCAGCGCTCGCAAGGCACGCTTGACTGTGGTTTCGGTTAGTCATATCAAGACTGCATGGAGAAGAAATCTGATTACAAACCCTTGAACATGTCTTTGCGCTCGCCATTCAGAATCGAGGTACGTGGCTTCAGGTCCTGGCTGCGCAAGAACTTGGCAACAGCCAGTCCCTTGGGATTCGGCGGGCCTGGAGTGATGGGCTGAGGCTGACCCTGTTGCGGCTGGCCCTGCTGAGGGTGAGGGTGAGGATGAGGATGAGGGTGGTTGTGGCCCTCATGTCCTCCTCCTTGCTGCTGCGCCTGTTGCTGCGCAGCGGCCTGTTGCATTTGCATCGCGCGCATGCGCGCCATCTGCTGCTGCTTGATGTGCTCGATGAATTGAGGCACCGTCATGCCCGCCTTTGCGGCATCTTCAGCAATCCGCTGCTGGATCTGCTGGATCTGCTCGGGAGTGGGTGGCTGTCCCATGAAACCTGGGCCAGGCATGGGCATTCCCATGGGCATTGCGCCTGGAGGCGGGCCTTGCGGCGGCGGCGCAGCCATAGCTATTCGTTGTGCTGGAGGATATTAAGAAACGATCAAAGAAAGTAAAGCAGAGTCGATTCGTTGAGGGGACACGATCGCAGGCGAAGGAGAAAAAATCAAGAAAAGTTTGAGTGAAAGACGCACGACCGCAAAGCTGTCGAGCGGACCTTTACGCTGTATTATAAAGTGGCATCTTGGAAAGTCACTGGCGCTGCCAAATGGACAGATAGCAATGTGTTCACTTTGGTCTCACTGGTTGCGCCGGATCGTTTATTCCCCGATTTCCGGCGATTCTCCAGCGCTGCTGCTACGTCAGATTACACTGTCTTCCGCACAGTATTGGAACTCTTTGTCGCATCGCATCGCATCGCATCGCGCAGCTACTCTAGGCGATTTTCATCTTCAGCTTCTAAATCTAATCAAACGGGATGGGTGACCGACTCACGCAGCTGCAAGATGCAGTCGATCAAGTATAATATTTTCCAAAACATTTTTAATGGCGATGCGCATTGAGAGCTCTGCTTACTGACGGTAAATCATCTCCAGTTTGCTCAGCAGCTCGTTGCTGCCCTGCACTTCGTCCACGTCCACCACGACCTCCAGACGCTAGGCCCGAAAGACAAGATCCGCGAACCCAAGGAGCAAGTGCCAAGAGAAGGTATAAACATCATCTGATGGCACCTCGTGTGATCACGTCGCTGATGGAATTCCTATAGTGGACGCACTCCCTCCCCAAGACTTTCGAGCCGGCATGGTCGAGCTGTCGCGCGACTTGATTGTCAAAGAGCAGCAAATTGAAGTCCTCATCTCTACACTGCCCGGACTCGATAACAGTCAAGAAGATCAGGAGCGCCATATCAGGGATCTCGAGGAAGATCTGAAGACAGCTAAGACGCAGCGGGTGGAAGCACTGAAGGAGAGGGACAACATACTGACCGAGCTTGACGCAATCATTCGCACCTTACGACGGCCGTGAGCTGTGCGTGTGCTTCTATTTCGCGCGTGTAGAGGCTCATCAATCTACTTTATTTGCATAGCGAGGCGTTTGGGTTAATCTTCTGGGCTTCGGCAGTTGTCTTTTACAATACCACACAATAGATTTTGGGAAACAAGCGGATCAGAGAGTGTTCTTCTCCCCTAGTTCTAAGGTATCTATATGTATTGAACATGTCTATGTGGCTATCAAAGGAGTTTCTCGTCATTGTAGGGTGTATAATGCGCATATCACCAAGTCTAGATCGGTGCTCTTTGAGTTCTTCAGGAATCGACAAAAGTGCTCTTGAAAAACTGGGGATAGACTTGTCGCAGCTCGCGTAGGTGGCGAATCTGATACTGCGACGCTTGAATCTTCGGAGCCGGAACGTCTTCCTCCACCAGGTGCGCTGCCGTCCAGCCCAATTTCTTTGCGGCGGCACAATTGGCGTAGCTATCGTCTATAAGCAGAATCAGTGAGTTTATTCTTCCAAGTTTTGAGCAGCAGTGGGAGGGCTCAAGGAAGAAAGAGACAATCTTACCAACGAAAAAGCAGTCTTCCACTTGGTCCACTCCAGCGTGCTTCATGGCCTTCTTATACATGTCTTCATGAGGCTTGCAGACCAAGGGTATTTCGGCGTAATCGCAAAACGTGAGACCTTCAAACTGATCATCGATGCCGAGCAATTTCACGACTCGTTTTCCGTGATTGACGTAGGCATTGGTGAGAAGCCACACCCTCACCTTGCTCCTGTCGATATCCTCGAGCAGTTGACGCAATTCTGGGTTGGGCTTGATGATACCCTCCAGGGGCAGAGCGTCGTCGACCTTGGCGTTGTACTCCAAGGGGTCAATCTGGTGGTGACGAACCAACCCTTCAATAGCCAGTCCATAGTTCTTGTAGTATTCTTGGTGAAGTTTGACGGCCTCGTCAAAGGGTAGGCTGAGATGCTCTTCGAAGTACTTGTCAATCAGCTCAGCCATGAGATCTTGTACTTTGGTGCCTAAGGCTTGGTTAGAATATGGGCTGAATCATGAGGAACGAGAAGGCCGTTTGTTCATACTCCTTGAATAGAGACAGTTGTCAATGTCGCTAGAATATTGTTAGATCTATTTTCAATTTTCTTCGTTGCGGTTTATGAATAATTCACTCACAAAAAAAGTACCGGTTTACCGGCCTTGGTGCCATTAGGGACCGTCATTGTGAGAGGCAAAGAGCTGGGAAATGCGTAGAGTGCACGCAAGGTTGTACTAAGAGATGGCTGCGGGCGAAACCCAATATGTCTCTTACTAAGTGTCTGGCGAAGATTATTTGTGGATTGAAGAGCTAATGAGATGGGGAGCCTGTACATGCGCATCCGGTCGAAGGTGTGTTGAATTAAAGAAACAGATATTTATGCCAAGTATGATGACTCCTACACCGGCATGGACTAGAGTGGTGCTAATGATTGCTAGCTGCTACTACACTAATTTGAGTGGCGGAGGTCGCCGAGCAGAGACTGTGTCTAAGCTGCTGTATATTTCATCTTCACAGCAAGAATAGGTGCTATGGAAAGAAAGTATCTCTTTAAAGATGAATGATTTATAGTAAACTAATGTGAGCGGCTTGAAATTATGAATTCTTATTTCAACAATTTACCAACATCTACTGTACTGTGGTGAAGACGACTACAACTTTGTCGCTTAGTCATTGAAAGTTATCGGCTTTGGAACCGGGAAACTGAAGCCTTGACTGGAATATTGCGGAGATACTCATAAGAGGAGTATTGAGACTCCGGATGGCTTACAAAATAATTGCGCATGCTCGAAAACTTGCGCCACGTGGTCGGCGGTTTCTACGTGGAAGCTGGGTGCGTGTGGTATCTGACAGATGGGCAGTACTAAAGTATACTGGCAACAAACAAGAACGTTTCAATATGGTTCGTTTTTGGAAGAAATACTCTTCCAAGAGAAGTTTACATCGAGTATATGTCATGGCACATCACAGGTACCGTACTGTACCGTATCAGATCACTTCCCAATGCTTGCTTTATTTGGATAGCTCCTGAATACCGAGCTGTGAACTCCGCATGTTTCTTTCAACAAAGTGGCTGCGTGATATGCACTTGCATCACAAGTAAATCATCTTTTGTAGATAGAACTCAATATGCGTTATATCTCTCTTTTATGTGTAGGCCAAGTATGAAGATTACAAACAGTGCGTAATGGTGACTAAACACGAGGGAGCGTGAGCGTTGTGAACGTTTGAAGTGAGAGATGCATAGATGCAAATTATAGCGCTACTGACCAGCGCCTACAGGGGCACATGACCCACTTTTGAAATTCTGCCCAAAGAGCCCTGTCACCGCCCAAATTATTTTAGCTAAAGTTGCCTCAAACTACTAGCCTCCTGAGCCTCGAGGCTGTCGCTGCTACTCCAGACATCAGCACACATCGATCACCCATTATGAGCGGTGCATCGTGGAAGCAACCGCTGATTGATTCTTCTGCCAAGGCGCTTCTGTAGCTTCTACAAAGAGCTGTTTCTCCAACGACACGCGCAGCGCTTTTTTCCCTTCGCGTATCTCACCGCGCATTGTTGACGCGGCATTCCCGTCAATGCTAACACAGAAGGCCATTATTTGCCATGAGTTCTAGAGAAAATGGCCTGGCCGCTGCCCACCAGGCAAATGCCATTGCGCCAACCAAGCTGACAGAGAAGGAAGCAAAGGAGATTGCAGAGTACGAAAAGATTCTGCGATTTCGCGATGCTGTGCTCTCTGGAGAGCACCCAACGATCAAGATTCAAGGGAACGTAGCTCTCTCGTCCAAGGCCACGAGAGCGCCGTCAGAACCCGGTGAAGTAGACGCAAAGTCACAAGCTCCAAAGCCGTCTTTTACAAGTACTCAGAAGCAGAACCCTTCTTTGCCGCCGCATCTAGCGGATGCTGGTGCTAAACCGGCTGATTCTGAAATCCCAAGACCATTTGGGGCTGGGGCTGGTGTTGGGGTCGGGGCCGCGACGACGCAGATCAATCCCATTTTTCTTGAAAAATCTGACGAACTTGTTAGGGCTGAAATCCAGCTGCAGAGACAAAGGCTTGAACGTGCCCTAAGAGAAGAACTTGAGAACCATCGAAACACGAGGCACGCAGAGCCCGTCATCGAATTTGATCTGTCTGATGTCCTCGCCAAGGCTCTGACCCTTGTCCAGGCCTCTGCTACACCTTTTGCCGCCAATAGGGGCTTGACTGCTAATTCTGCAAGTGATTCTTTCGACGATAGAACTTACTACTCCTCACAACATGAGACGCCTGACTCTAACCTAACTTCACGTGTGCGCCGCTCGACTGATGAGGGGATGATGATGGTTGACGGCCGCAGGGAATCTCAATCAGGGCCTCGTCAAACCATCAACAGTGGAAGCCATGTGGCTGCTACTGCGAGAGACTACCCAGCCGCAGGTTCTTCATCCCAACCCTTCTACCAGGCTCCTGGCCCTGTGGCAAACGCTACTCCTAGTAGGCCAGAAAAGCAACAGGTTCCTGGCCTTCATCACTTGCATGTCGATAGTGGCAGCCTACCAGCTCCCCATGCTCCAGCTATTGCTGCCATCGCTACTGGTGCAGAGGCCAACCGGACAGCTGAAAGAGGCCACCAAGGTCCTGAAAACAGCGTTCCTGAGCCTGCTCAGAATCAGTCCGGGCAGCCACTCCCCCCCTTGATTCGAAACCATGACTTGGTACCTATTGCTCCGCAGCCGGCAAAAATCGCACCCTTGACTGTAGTCAACGTGCAAACCCCCGTCGCCGAAACAGTCGTACCCGCACCTCTAGCTGTGCCAGCGCAAGCGCAGGTGGCAGCTCTTAGGAATGAAGCTCCTGCTGCTGCTGTCTCCGATAGCTCTTCTCAGGGTACGAAAGAAGCTGATCAGAGAAAGAAGAAGAAGAAGAGAAAGGTCGAACGGCAAGCGCCAGAGGCCGAGGCCAGCCCTCGTATCAAAGTTGAGCCTCGTTCACAATCGCCCGTGACCGCTCCAGCGTACACCAGACCCAGCAAACGACAGAGACAATCTCAAGTACATGCTAATGAATCTGAACGACCTGAGCCGAGACATATTCAGCCTCCATCAAATGCTTCCTATGAGCGGCAGCCATCACAAGTATATCGAGGCGAGCGAGCTCCCGTAACTTACCAGGCTCCCGAGCCTAGGCGAATCATTCTTCGCCATGCTCAGGCCACAGAGCCCGCTGCTGCTCTCAACTATGACAGAGATTTCATTGATGACCGTCTTGCGTCTGGTGAGGGCTTCATACGTCTGCCTCATTCAGGCGAGCACTACGTACGCCGGGAGTACGCCCGTGAGACGGATGCTTTGGATAGAGCAAGGCATGGGACGATTGTTAGAGAGCCATACGTCATCTCGGAAGGCCCATATCGAGAACCCGCACGCGTCTATCATGAGCCTCTTGAAGCCCCACGCGCGAGCGTACGGCCAGAGGGTGAGTCTTTCATAGTTCCTCCCCGGCCACCAACACGGGTTATGGTAGATTCATACGGACGAGAGTACATCGAGCCTGCGCTTTCCTCTGCGCGGCAATCTGTTGCCCCCTTGCCCCGATCTGGAGAACCAGAGGTAATCTATGAGAGACTACCACCTACCCAGCCCTTGTCAGGTCACCCTGGAGCTGGAGTACCATACAACGAAAGTGGTGTGGTATACACAAGACCTCTGTCCGTCTACGATCCCGTCAATAGAGTATATGTATCACAGCCACCCGAGTCTCCTTACGATCATAGGGATGGTCAGTATCGCGAACATCAGTTACAGCAAAGAGGCTATATTCAACTCTCGGGACCTCATGACCGCAGAATCGTCGAGGAACGGCCCATAGAGTATGCTTCGCGACCAGTTGGCTATCAGGCGTCCGACCGAGTGCGGCTCGAACCTACTGGCCAGCCATATTATCGTATGCACAGCATACACCCCGATGCTAGCGGCAGAGAAGCGACTTCTGCTTCGACTCTCCGCTATGATAGTCGCCGCCCAGAAGGCCCTCAGCCGTATGTCAGAGAATATCTTGGCAGTCCCATGCAGCGACATCCGACTGTTCACAGAGAATACAGCGTGCGGCCCCCCGAGCGATTCCAGGGACCTCCAGCACCTGCAAGGGGATCCAATGAGATTGCCTTTATTGAGCAGCCTCGAGCAGCAACCCGGGAAATCGTGTACGTGGATGACGTCAGAAGAGAGGTTTATCGGTAAGGAGCGGCTACAAAACCGCCTCTTTTTTTTTTGTTTTTATGTTGCGTTTGTATAAGATCTTGTAAGACTACGTTTTCGGAAAAGGCAGCTGGAACCAAGCACAATGGAATAAGGAACAAGGCATCTGGCATCTGGCATCTGGCATCAGGCATCAGGCATTTGGCATTTGGCATCTGGCACGAAAAGATCACTGGTATAAAAAGGATATAGGGGATTGAATGCTCAAGATAATAAAGGTGGATAGTGGCATCATTGAGGCTGTGAATAGGTTACTTGAGCAGTTACCCTTTTCTGTAATAGGGCTATTGAAGATGTCGGAAAATATATGAGAGAGTTCATAATTGATATTACAATAGCATGGAATATGTTCTCAAACATCGATTCACTGCATTGCGCCATAAACTACCTAGTCTAGCCACCCGGAGGCGTCTACATTCATGCCAGACATATTGTTAGCCAATGATAGAAACAAGCAGCATTTGATCAACATCCACAACAGTCACTTCTCATGTTTGTTTTTCTATTTTGAGTTCACCCCGGCTTGCTTTCGGACAAGTTACAAGCTTTTCTCTCACTCCCATAGCATGAATTAGTGTGGCGATCCTGTAGGTAGTTTGCCCCTGACTTGGAGCAAGAATCGCCATGTTTTGTTTTTGCTAGACTATGGGTGGCTTTCCTGCGCGACATACTAGAAACAGAGGCGAGTCAGGGATCTGGGACATTGAGCCTTGGGCGGCAGAGGTAGCAATACTTGTGCGTGGCTATCACGAGCCAAGACGTACCCCAGGCGCATTCGCAGTGGGTTATACACATGTATGTACGACCCGGATCACAACCCGAGAACCCGACGGGAATAGGAGGGCCGTCGACGATAATGTATGGTCCAGATTGAGATACGATGAGTAACTAACATATTTCATAGAGTCGGTTTATTGGTGCTTCGTGCATATAAAGGATGAGTTGGTTGGCTGGGTTAGCCATGACGGAGATCAGAGCTCGACAACAAACGCCATGAGGTCATCAAGGACATGTGGACAAGGAAAAAAGAAAGGAGCTTTGAGCTCTTCCTAACTCGGCCCGTGTCGGCATGAAGTCGTCCGCCGGCTACATGCGTGCCTCTCACTAGTACTACTTACTGTAGGTATATGAACGAAACCAGCACAGCCTCTTTACTCTCTTGTTTCCTCTTCTCCGCCGTCCCTGTGGTCTGTCGGCATTCTGTGGGGAAAGAAGCCACTGCACATTGCAGAGGGGAGGGTTCCGGCAGATTGTTGCGCTAGAGCATGTACGTAGGAGGTTATTTTGCGTGTTAGCTGCAAGTGTCCGGGCACCGGATAAGACGGGACACCCTTTTTGTGGTTTAAAATCACAGACAGCAAAGGCGGAAAGGTTCGAGGACGGGTCAAAAGGACCTGGTCCCGTTTGGAGTATCAACGGAGGGGCAATCCCTAGTCTTCCTTTTGTGTTGTTGGACAGGTTGAGACGATGTGATTTATAGACGGCAGTATGAATAATGCTTTCTTGATACCAGCACTGGTGTGGGCGATTGAAGCACTGACGTCTTCCTTCTCTGCTTCTCAATTCTGATCAAACGATCGTGTCCACTTCAAACGCGACCCCATGCGTACCGGATTGGCGGAATGGAATGGAGGCCCCAAAGTCGGTGCTTTCGGCTGGCCTTTGCTGGCGCAGAACCTAGTTGAGCTGAACGGACGGCGGAGTTGGGGCGACAGAATAGGGAAAAGCCGACGGGACTCGAGTGTTTCAGAAAAGCTTGAGATTTTTTCTCTCTTTTCTTTTCTCTTTATTATTTTATGTTTCTGTGTTGGTAGCACCCGGCCCATCACTTTTCAAATAGGACGTGATTGGACAATGGTGTTACAGAACACACAGCCATTCCAGACGTAATCAACGACCTTATCTTGAGGCTGTTACAGTTCCAGGTCAGCAGCCTGGGGCAGACGCTCATTATCTTGCGTAAGTCCGTGTAGTTGGTTCGATTAAGCAGGCTAGGGTGGTAGCCGTCCGAATCAATAAAATGAGTGCAACTGGCACACGGCCTGAAATTCGTAGAGGGTATCACGGTGGCGGCAGTAACCTTTTGTGCTCAATTTGAGACACGGCATATTTGGTAGCGGGCTAAGCCAGATGGAGGGAGAGGTGGAAGACGCATGTCAGTCCCGCCAGCCTCTGCTCGTGCAAGAAATTGGGGGGCCACTTGCCACCAACAACGGGTGACCACAGCACCGCCGCTGTGCTACCTGGGTAGATTTGCGTATGGTGGTTGGGTGGCTCTTTGAGCATAGAAGCAGTAACTGGGTATCCTGGTATGTAGCGTGCCCTATGAGCCTCACGACGGCCGGCTTTGGAGTTGTACCTGGCAGCCGTGCTAGCAGGGTTCCCTCCTTGATTCATCTAGACAGAATCGAACACCGACCGGAGCATGCCAATTCCCGGGGCACCGACCCGAGCCTGCTCGTATAATGGAATCGGCACAAAGCCTCGCTTGAGTGAATGAGCCCTCTCGTTTCATCAAGCAAAAGGGAAAAAGCTTGGTTGATGTGCGCCCCTCTCTCGCACATGCTCACACACTTGGCACGTTATTCGTATAATACGGCCATCGTCATGATTTGCTGTTCTTCTGGAGGGCGGACCCACTGCATTCGTCGCTGAACCTGAAGATCTGGCTGTCGATCCTGGCATCACCGAGAGATAAATGCCAGTCCAATCCTAGCTAGCAACGCCCTAGCAATGGCAGGAGTAGGAGACGGCAGCAAGATTCATTTGTATGCGCGCTGTTTGTTGTACAAGCTGATATCGACACAAGTGCGTACCTAGGCATATGTCCAAGCAGTATCCCCTACTCTCGCTTTCGTTCAGCAGTGGTGATCCCAAGTGGCTCAGTGGATGAGGGCTGCAGAGCTTGCGTGTGCCACGGAGAGCAGCATGGATAGTCCCGGCCAGGCCAAGCCAGGCTATGGTAGGGAGTGGACACGACGGTGGAGTCCGGGATCGCGAGCCTTTGTGCCTTATTGTGGTAGCGAGTGGGTTCGTGAGAGGGAGAGTGGGCTTGGGCTGGTGGTTAGCCTGGCAGCAGAGAATCTGATCTTTGCTCTTACAAAACGCTAGAAGGAAAAGAAGCCAAGAGAAGGCCGAAGTACGAGTGATGGAGAAAGAGTGAGAGATTAAACTCTCTGTGTGCCGATGTCTTCGTATCTAGTATAGTAGGTATCCAGAGCAAGAAAGTCGAGGATACTCCATCGCGCTTATGGCCCTCGCAATGGCTTCTGGTGAATAGCCAGCCAGACAAACAAACAAGTGCAGAAACGGGTTAGGGGTGCATCCAGCTAAGGTTTCGCAGCAAAGCCATTCTGCTGACCACGGCATCTCGTTGGCTCTGCAGATGAGCGGTGCCGCAGGGCCTGGCGTGGCCTCAGCCAGTAACGGCCGCGGACTGCAATGTCTGCAGCAGCTTGTGCTAGCCCGCATGCCTTAGCAGTCGCTAACCCAGAGATATCTTAGCAGCACTGACATGCATTGGAGTTACCAGCACGGGAAACGCCTAGCCATGCTGTGAGCTGCTGTGAGCCACTGTTTGGGGGCAAAAGAGGGAAGCGTGTCGTATCTGCTGGCAGCACCGAGCACAGACGATGCCGGCCTTGTTGCTTTGCACAAGACCCGACATGGATCTACAAGACTCAGGTAAGCTTTCAATTCATCTTCCACCAAATCTCACCAGACAGGTACGTACCTGCCTACTGCTGGTTGCGCGCACTAAAGCACGCTCCAGTGGTGGCTGCGTCTAAAATCCTCCCCAGCCGCCATCAAAGTACCGAGACCTCGACTACCGTACTGCTGGCTGTATTAGTCTTGTTCGACGGCAGCACGTCCATTGTTATTGTCCATCATCTCCCATTTTGGGACAGGCCTCTCACGCTCCAGAGACAGCGCGCCGTTGCTAGGCAAGCGCGCAGCATTCCGTTCCAAGTTCTTCCTCATACGCAAATCGCACCCGCGGTACTTGTGCCCGACAGCCTGCACGAACCCCCGGCCAGCGCTTGGCGTGCCTGGCGCCAGCGGCCCACCGCAGGTCTTGCCCAGCAGGCTCTAGGAACGCAGCGCACCGGAGAACGGAACTCGAGGCACTAAAAATGCCACCCTAGCGTGCACGGAGCCATGCTGAGGCTTTGCTCCCGCAACGCTGGGTCCGTCATTGTCTCTCTGGATCTCTTGAGCGGTACAAAGGTGTCCGTACCTGTACTTTGCCGATACCCGGCAGTTTTCAAGACTCTGCGTATATTCAACCAGATTTAGCATGTAATACAGAGTGCGGTGCACTGCATATTGATCCGTCTCACAAAAGAAATAGAAGGCTGTCTGTCTACTGCTAGTAGAGTTTGTGCTATCTAAGGCTTCATCAGTGCTCGCGAGGGTTGCTGATGCACAAGAGGGTGCTCGTGCTCACTTTAGGCCACGCTGCGACTCCGTAACATTGCAGCAGAATATGCCCGTGTGGGTGGTGCCGGTGCGGTGCAGCTTCATGCAGCATTGCGGCCCATCCTTTTACAGTTGAGTTCATATTGCCTGTAGGCCTGCGCTGCGTGCCGCACAAATGCAGGCGATGCTGTTGTTGTCGCTGCTGCGTCTCTGGCCTGCTTGGCCCATCGTATCGTATCGTGTACATGCTTGCAGCGGCAGTATATCCCTTATTTGTGCGCCTGCATCCTGCTGTGCAACACCGTTCCTTGCTTTGCCGTGCCCAGACATGGCCCTCGAGTTTGCACAAGGTGGATTTGGTGAGCCGACATGTGGCCTATGAGACGAAGAGAGATGCTACCAAGAAAGGACTGATCTTGGTTGCTTGCTCGCATCGTCTTACCACTTTTACCGCAGCGCCTCATCGTCGTGGTACTGCGAGTGCTGTACACAATACAAGCATTACCTTAGGTAATAGGTAAGGTACTACTACTAGTAGTAGTAGTAATGCTCGTACAAGGAGACGGCACAGCCCTGTTTGAGCCAGTCCTTGCGTGGGCTGCCTCAATATTCGTAGGTCTCTAGTGGTGATAATCTCTGTAGTGAATTTGAAGCTCTAAATTGAACCGAATCGAGTTGAGAAGAGCCTGTTCTCAGTGAGCGTTTCGAGACTGGATCGTTGAGAGAATTGATTGAGACAATAGACTCAACTGCTGGTCGGATCGAGGTACCTTCCCACGTCCGCCAGCCGGTACTTGTACCACCGGGGGCTGCTCAGCGCGGTCCAGGCCCCCGACAATCCCACAACTGACCACAACTGACCACTAACCTCGCCTGACTAAAACATGGCCGCCTCTCTCAGCGGCCACCCTCTTTTCTTGCATGTTCCCTCTTCTCCAATCTGCTCTTCCCACCTCCCCTCTGGCTCTCCAACCTCGCTCGAGATAGCTGGAAAAGGGCCTGTGTGAACCGGCTCTTGTTCCTTTTCTTTTCTTCTTCTTCCTTTCTCCCAGCTGGACTCTTGTCTTTTTTCTTTTCTTATCTGTGCCCTGATCGATACCCCTTGCATTTTCCAAACCCCCAGGCCTCGTCCTGCTGATTCCCACCTCGCCGGCCGCCTTTTCCTCTCTTGCTCCCACCATCGCCAAACCGACCCGACTCGACCTGTAGCCCGGCCCTTGCTGCTTCACGCACATCATGAATAAGCTGGCGAATATGCGCCACTGGTCCGAGAGGATGAGTCCAAACTTTGGCATGGGACGACCCAGCGTGCCCATGAACAACCTGAACCAGCACTCCAAATCCGTCTCCCAGCCTGGCCTGCCTCTAACGTCTCCCGCCGCCGACGCCACGATACACTACTCGTTCAACATCCCGTTTGCCTCTGACCTGGCTGGGCCCAACACCGAAGACATTCTGCACGCTACCACCGATGCCGTCTTGAGATGGACACACCCAGAGGACGCTCCCGACGATGTCAACATCTTTGAGCTCCCTGCCCACGCCCAAAACCTGGCAAACCTGCGCAGGCTCTGCAGGGATTTGTCCAGCGGCCCTCTGCCCATCGAAGCTCAAGTCGTCGTCTCAACCCCCAAGAATGGCAAGAGCCAGCAGATTACCACCGTCGGTCTGACGGGATCCCCGGAGCTCGTCAACAAGAGCCGGGAGACCATTTTGAACGAGATCCCCATCTCCATGGTATGCCCAACCCTTCCCCTCCCGGCGCTCTTGGATACACTCCCAGTGTGCTAACTCGCCTTTTTCAATTGCAGCGATGCATCACAATTGACATCGATGGAAACTTGGTCTGTGACCTGGCCGCTGGCGTACTCAAAAAGCCCGTCCTGGACAATCTGGATTTTATCTCGAAATACTGCGGCGTCGACATCTTTCTGTTGGGACCCAAGTTGACCCCAATGGTCGATGGAATGCTAGGTGATTCCGAGATGCGAATGGACCAGCGCTGGAGAGTTGCCATCTACGGCGACATCTTGTCGTCCGAGCACGCCAAGGCCCGAGTGCTTGTTCAGATTGACACCTTGGTTCGTACCTCTGTCCCACTTATACCTTTGCATACTACATTTTCTAACATAGCTTGTCATCTTAGCTTGGCCGCATGGTGGATGGTCTGAAAATCGAGTCGTCTCTTCACCAACTTGTCTGCGGACGACACCGCAAGAACATCAAGCTCATTGAGTCTTCAACCGGGACTGCCATCTACTTCCCTCCTCTGTTCTCGCAAATGTATCGCTACTGCCCACCCAATGCGAATCGCCGTGAACCTGCAGACGTCTACATCACAGGAGACTCTCATCAGGCCCTAGAGCTGGCCAAGCAGAAGCTTCTTGAGACAGTTTCTCGCATTCGCCTCTTTGTCAAGGATGTCAACATCCCGGCCGCCAAACTCGACAACATCCTCCTAGGCCGCTTGGACAAGGTCCGCAAGATTCTCGAGGCTAATGGAACGTATATTATGCTTCCTCAATTAGCGTGCCAGCGCACGGCCGTCCGAGTTCACGGAAGTGAGGGCCTGCCGGTTGAACGAACCGTCCGGGAGCTCATGTCACTGGCTGGCCAGTTTTATGGCGCCGGATGGTATCTTCAACAGCCGGAGAACAGGACTCTCCCTGCCGCTCACGAAATTCACTCCATGCTCGCGGATATTTGCGCCAACTCTGATGCAGAAGTGTCCTTTGATAAGGCGTCTTTCACCGTCACCGGTGCCGACGACTCCGTCAAGTCTGCTCTGGCCGCCATCTCCGAGTTGAAATTTGCAACCATTGCTCCTTATCAAATCCGTGTCAAGATTGAGCTTGCCAACGAGCACAAGGAGTTTGTGAGCGGTAAGAAGAATGGCAAGATCAATAAAATCATGGGACAAAGTAGGTTACCCCGACCCAATATCGAATTGTATTGTAATCGGTTTTGAAACTAACAAGACATTTTCTCTTCTTCAAGGCAATGTGCAGATCATCTTTGACGGCTTCAACGAATACAACTTTAACATTGACGTCATGGCTGCCACCTATGAATCCATGAAGCAAGGTCTGACCTTGGTTGAGCAGGAGATGCCGGCGTCTATCTCGTTCCATGTGCCGGACCAGTACCACAAGCGCATCATTGGCATTGGTGGCCAGCACATTCAGCGTATCATGAAGAAGCATTCCGTCTTTGTCAAGTTTTCAAACGCCATGGACAGAGGTAAACAATTCAATGATTCATCAATCTATTTCAATAAGAGTGTTACTAAAGAGCAAATGCTAGGTGGCATGGGACGAGAAGATGACGACATCAAAGTCGACAATGTCATTTGCCGCACTCCGGCTCGCAATGCCCAGAATCTGGATGCTGTCAAGAACGAGATTCTTGAAATGGTTGATCGAGCTGTAAGTGCTGTCAAATAGCCCACAAAGGTGACAAAGGTGACAAAAGTGATCGTCGACTAACCTGAATGCTACAACAGGACTCCGAGTACACCTCTCAGATTGTTAGCGTTGATCGATTGTACCACCGCGAACTAATTGCTCGCCTCTCAGAAATTGACGAGCTTGAGCAAAAGTACAACTGCAAGATCAACTTTCCTAGCACTGAGCAGGCGAGTGACGAGGTCACTGTTACTGGTCCCCAGTGGCAGGTGCCTCACTGCGTTGACGAGTTCCTCGGCATGGTCCCCGATAGGCATGAGTTGGTGCTTGCTCGTAGCGCCAAGTTGGTCAAGTTCCTGGAGTCTCCTGAGTTTGCCCATGATCTTGTTCCCAAGTTGAAGAGTCAGTACGAGGTGGAAGTTACTGTTCATCAGAACCCTGAGGAGACCACCGAAGATGGCTCCCCCACCGCTACTCTCCTCTGGGGCTTCACGCGCAACAATGCAGGAGGTCTCCGAGACGCAATCGACTTCTTGCTCGCCCAGTTTGCTACTGCGGGCGTCGAGGCTGATATCGTCAAGGGCTCCATCCCTCGTCCCAAGTCCGACTCGTTTGAAGATACGCTTCAGTATTTCGATTCCAAGCTTCTTCAACACGCACCCGCTTCGGCGGCCGGCGACTCTCCCATCAAGAATGCTTTCAATGCAGACATTGCCCGAGAACGCAGCAGCATTCTTGATCGCCTCAGGCGCCCGGGGAGCATGACGTCCATCTCTTCCTTCTTGGACCGCAGAAAGAACAGCTCACACTCGGCCGCAGGCAGCTTCTTCAAGGGCTCTGCCAACGTCTCCAAGTCGTCGCTCATCTCGATCGAGTCGACACGTAGCTTCAACGCCGATCGAAACCCTTGGAACGACAGTGGTGTCAACCTGGCTGACGATGAGAACCCTTGGGCTCGTCCTATCAGCAACCACCACTTCGAGAGCAAGTTAACCATCCCCCTTTCCAAAGACGCCATCACTCCGCGCCACACTACCCGTGCGTCCGGTGATAGCGGGCGACCTTCTACTTCACACTCTATGAATTCAGGATACCCCGCCCCCATTGGGCCTTTCCGTTAGACTTTGCCGAATTAGACCCATTACATGCGAATACCCCCCCGGCTGGATATACCCCGGAGCGTCCAAGATTGCATCATTTTCTGGCCTTTCACTTTTGCTGGAGATGTTGGCGCGTTCCTCTCTTTCTTTCTTTTTTCTTGCTTGTTGCTCTGTTCTGTCCTATTTTTTGCGTTTTGTTTTTCCCTTTCCTTTTCTTCATTTTCCATTCAATTTGCTTTTTCCATCTTTGTGTGTGTGTGTTTGTGTTGTTATTTTTGTTCACTGCTTGCCGTCTGTTTACGAGTCAATTTTCGCTTACTGAATTTCGTGACGTCAATCTTGATGGTTGGCACTCACTTTTTTATACCCATTTGAACGTCCTAGACGTTGAAAACATAAAAATTGCGAAGAAAATACCCATAGGCGCAGGAGCCGCAGAATTTGGTTTGCAAGATTGATGATTTTGATTCTCTCATGGGGGTCTCGCCAAGTAACAGCATTGATGAGAGATGGCTGGGGTGTTGGTTCACTTGAAAGAAGAGAGGTGAGGAAGAAGGGGGAAACAAGGGGGGGTCCGGTATACGCATTGCAGATGAAAAGCGTTATGTGTGTGTGTGCATGCGTGCATGTGCGTTTTACATTCATGTAGACGGAGACGATCAAATTTCACATCCTGAATGGGAATGCTGGCGGCCTCTGTTTTATATATATCCTTTTTTAAGGGGGGACACAAAAGTGTCTTTTTTTTTCTTTTACTACACCATGTACGGCTACGACCTGTTAAATGGAAAGATCATGATACCCATGGCATTAAACCTATTTATCCTGAACGATGCATAAAGTGATTCTGGTGTAGTACTGGGTATTTATTCTTCCATACAAACTATTTCGGTTGCAACAATATGTCGTAGCAAAGGACGTCTATAAAAGAGGCAAGCGGTCCGTTTGATGATACCCTTTTATAATCGAAGTCATATTTACACTTGCTGCTACTCTTTATAAACTTTGAGAGTATCTTTTTCCACGCCATCTATCCTAATCATACATTGCGTTGTTCGTATCGATAGGTAAGGTATATATATATGTCGCATTTCCCTAGAGATATCATCTTGATAATCACCCGATCACCCGACCATCTCCTCTAAAACGCCAAATAACGCCATGTTCCGAAATATGCGCTCTCATCAATACAACAAGAGTCTTTCTCTTTTCCCCCATCAAGCCGACAGTGGCCCGACCCTAACGTGCTCCCTATGCCGCCAGTCATCAAGCGTAGTCTTCGTCTTCTCCCTTCTTCGCATCTCCGCTTCCATCCGCGCGAACAGGCCTCGCGCCCCGTGCTTCAGCTTCGTAATCATGTCGGCTGCCTTGCCCTTTGTCAACCCCATCGTCGAGAGAGGGTTGCTGCCTTTGCCGCGGAGCTTGTTGATGAGGTCGACCTGGCCTTGCGTCGGGGGCAGCCTCCTCCACGACTGGCGCCGCTCTATGAAGCTGTGTGGGAAGGCGCCGGCGGCGTAACTGTCGGCGCCGTGGACCGCGTCGTCAAAGGTGGCGGCTTTGAGGATCTCGCGAGGGGCGCTGTAGGGCGATTTTGCGACGCCTAGGGGCAGGGCGCGGATCTCAACTGCGTGGTAGGTCGGTGCTTCTGAGTAGGAGGAGCCGCTCTTTTGTTCGGCGGCGATTCTCTCGATACGGATGTATGACCCGCTTGGGGCGGAGAGGACGAAGCGCTCTGGGCCGATTTGGACCCAGGCGTATTGGCTGATGGCGCGGATGTGCCGCTCGCCGGAGGTGTCGGCAATTAGATCTAGGACGGAAGAGTAGTCGGTGAAAGTAACAGCCGGAGAAGCGCTGGAGCTTGCGCCAGAGGAATTTCCTTGCTGTTGCTGCTGTTCTGCCTCTGCGGCCTTTCGGTCCTTGATTTTCCGCATGTCGTCGACCGAGGCCTTTTCAACTAATTCGTTGGGGTCGAGGCCAAACAACGTCGGCGTGGTGACAATGCCCGTCTCAAGGCTAGAGACCATGTCGATGATGTGGCAGTTCTTCTTGTCCGGGTGCAGCCTCATGCCGCGCCCAATCATCTGCACCAGCAGGTTGCGTGACCTCGTTGGCCTGCCCAGCACGATGCAGTCAATGTTTGGGATGTCGGTGCCCTCGGTGAAGACGCCGCAGTTGACGAGCACGGGGAATTCGCGCTTCTTGAAGCCCTCGAGGATGGTGCTCCTCTCTACCTTGGGAGTGTCCCCCGTGACGAAGCGGGCGTCGAAGCCAAACTCGCGGAACTTTTTCGTCAGGCCCGCGACATGCGCGAGGTCAACGCAGAAGACGAGGGTGGATTTCCGGTCTGGTGCCTTGGCGAGCCAGCTGCGGACTGTGATTTCGTTGATGGTGTCGGTGTTGACGGCCTTGGAGAGCTCGCCTGCCTGGAAGTCGCCGAAAGCGCCGCTCTTGACTTTGGACAGGTTGGCTGAGGACTCGACTGTGGTGAAGACGACGTCTGAGAGCCATTTGTCCGAAATCATGTCGACGTAGTCCTTGTGGTAGACTATCTCGTCAATAGCGGCGCCGAGCTTGACTCCGTCGAATCGAGAGAAAGTGGCAGACACTCCTATCAGGGTGGGTGAGTTGTATCTCTTCTGATCAAGACCAAAGTGTTTCAACGTCCTGAGGTAGCCCGGCGCAACAATGTGATGAGCCTCATCGACAAGGACGAGCTTGAACCTTGCAGGATCGTACTTGTCCAGTCGGTCCCTGGACGTTATGCTCTGGATACTCGCAATGGTGATGTCTGCCGTGCCCGATGCGTGGAGTGAGCCCATTTCAATCTCGATCCTCTTGTCTGGATAGGCGAGCTGGCAGTGTTTGGCTGCTTGCTCTACCAGCTCACGGCGATGAGCCAGGATGAGAGTCTGGCTGGCATTTTTGACCCGGTCGGGGACCTTGTCTATGAGCTGAGTGAAGATGACCTATTCGAGAGTTAATTAAAAATTTTTGTATCTATTTATGAAGGGATGATTCACAGTCTTGCCACTGCCGGTGGCCAGGGATATGCCAACTCTCTTATGCCCTCGCTTGAGAGACAAGACTACGGATTTGATGCATTCTTGCTGGTAATCCCGGAGCTTCAGCTTATTGCTGCTGCCCAGAGAAGCGGCGGCCGCCGCCGCATATTGCCTGGCCTGGCCGATCCAGGCTGCTGCAGGGACGCCAGTCGCAGAATTAGGCCGGAAGAGACGTCTCACGACGGTTTGGAGCATTGCACATGGCTGTAGGTGTGCCTCTTCTCCAGATGCTCGAAAGGAAAAAAAGTTGGTGTAAGAGGAGTCTTGTCTAAATTTCAGCCACTGTGGCGCTAGTGCTGCGTGCTTCAGAAAGTGGCTGAGTCAGCTAACTGTGCGACTGAGAAGCATGATTTTAGACTCCCGCAACTGGGGCTCAAGCTTCATAACCATCTTTCTTTGCTATATCAGAAATGATATCGAAATTTGACCTTGATCTTTTACCAGCCATAAAATTTGGTCCCGATTCGGTCGCTACTAGAAACAATGTTTTCTCTCTCCATCGCAGTCTTTAGCGCCCCAGTGACCGAAGGACCATGGACCAAGATTCCAACTACTCATATGAGGAGCAAGATGCGGCTGCCATCTCATCACCGCGGGCCAAGATGAAGGAAGAGGTTTCCGAAAGAGTAGCAAATACAGAACTGAGCACTAGATATGAAGATGAGCTTGAACGGCCTGCCAGTGATGAAAGCGATTACGTTGGAGAAGACGAAGAAGAAGATTTTTCATCAGCCGCGGAAAGCGAAGGCCAAGAGCTGCGATCGCAGCTAAAGAGACCCCTGGATGATGCAGTTCCTATCTACAGGCCTTTCAAACGGCAAAGAGGAGAACTGAACCTTGAATACTTGGAGCTTCTCAACAAGGAGATCCAAGATGCCGCGCAGCAGATCTCCTTTGGTGACCTCAAGCTTCTCTCAGCGAGCCATATCGGCCTCACTCACTGGTCTACGGCTGAAAAGCAAAACTTTTTCGAAGCGGTAGCACGCCTCGGGAAATATGATCTCCCTGGCATCGCCACCAAAATCGGAAGCAAGAGCGTGGCCGAGGTTAACCACTACTTGGGGATTCTCCAAGAAGGCAGCGAATCAAGGCGGCAGCAGGGGGATCGCACCAGCTTGGAGCTTGCAGAGTATCCTGCTGCTGTGGAGGTTAGCCAACAGTGCTGCCGTGCGGAAGAAGAGGCTGCAGATGAGATCTCGCTTAAGCAAGAAGCGCGCGAGGAGATTCGCGAGCGCAATCGATGGGAAGATGTATGGGATATCACACCGAAAGTTGCTAGAAAACTCAGCAGAGCTATTCATAAGCAGGACGAAAACTTGGCCGGTATTCCACAATTTGCTCAGCTATTTCACTCTTCGACCTGGCTAGAACTTTCTGCGCGGATATTCATGAACTCTTCGGTTCCGGGTAACAACTGGAATTCCATAGGGGGAGAACCACCGTCGATGTGGGCGACTACTTTCGAAGACTTTCACTCGTTAACCGTATCGGTCACTCGGAGGCTTGTTCAGACATCCCTCTTTATAGCAATGTCTAGGATCAGATCGAAGAACGCGTCGACAAAGAAGGTTAGAGACATGGTACAACAACAAGATGTTGAAGCAGCCATTTCCTCTCTAAATATGGCCTCGAAGGCGAACGAATCATGGGTTGGCAGTGCTCGAAGATTACGCCTGGATGTTTACGAGAACCCCCCTGAAGGAGATGAGGAGTTTGATGAAGAGCGCATGGCATATGATGAGATAGAGAGAGCTTTATCCTGCGAGAACACTGTTGCGCCTGGAGAGCAAGCGCAGCCAGAGACCCCCTTTTCCACTCAGCTGAGTGAATTTGAAGAGGAAGACGACGAGTTGTCGGATTTACCATCCGAATCAAGCAGGTCTCCATCCCCTACAAATGAAGAAGAGCGGCAGATCGACATGGAGGCAGTGGAAGTCTTGGAGCACTCCGCCATGGGCATCCGAACCAATAATGCTACAAGAAAGGCTCTTAAGGCGTTTATAGCCACGGATCGGCAACTGGAGAGACAAGCTGAAGACATCGACCAATATGCCAGCTACAAAGCAGAGATTGAAATGTGGAACATTTTGCAAAAGAAGCCGCCCATGGACTTGCCTAAAACGCATGATCCCGGCCCGGTGAGGCGATCGAACCAGAGCTTGGATAGCTTTTACCCCAGCGGACGGGAATGGGCGCGCAAGTTGGCGTATTACAGCGAATGGGAGACTCTGCCAGTGCCTGACGCGACATTGAAACCAAGGTCTACAGAAGAAGAGGTTGTAGTTAAGGAAGAAGCTGGGGATGAGGGGGGTGATGAAGCAGAGGAAGACGAAGAAGGCGAAGGCAAAGGAAATGAAGCCGATAGTGTAGATGATGATGACGAGGATGAGGAGAATGACGATAATGAAGAGGAGGAGGAGGAGGAGGAGGAGGAGGAGGAAAGCAGTAATATAAAGCGAGAATAGATGAAATCAGGAGGCTTCACGAGGGACACGCATACAGCCAGTAGAAAGCTAGAAACAAGCAAGCAAGCGAGCGAGCTAATTTCTATAATTGTATGATATGCCTGAAAACCGGGTATCTTGACCTTTGATCCAAGGTGCTTTGCCAAGCCCACAAAAGAAACAAAGCAAAGAAACGCCACCATGCAGCTTTTAATCAATGCCTTAACCTCCCCTTCCTCTTCCTCTCCTGCCTCGTCCACGGCCGCGTCCACGACCTCTCCCGGGGCCTCCTCTCGCTTGTTTGGGCGCGGGAGTTCCGCTTTCTGCGCTTCCACTGTCACTCTCTTCTGAGCCAGATTCCTCCTCCTCATCTTCTGATTCTTCCTCTTCGTCTTCTTCGGAGTTCTCCACCACCTTTTCTTTTTCCACCTTGGGCTGGCTCGTCGCTCTTTTGCGGCCCCGCGTGCCTTTTGCTGGCTTTGCTGTCGCTGCTGCTGCCGCCGCCGCCGGTGACGGTGCAGAGGAAGACGCAGCAGCACTTTCGTTATTCTCGACTGATGCGCCCCTCGCCTTCGATACAGTGCCCGCTCGTGCACGCTTCTGCGGAATGGAGGAAGAAGGCGGCGGCGGCGAAAGCTCCAGCTGGCGAGGCGACGTGGGCGCTTCGCTCGGGTCCGCAATGGCCCGCTGCAGCATCAGCTCGCCGAATTCGTGAAACGGTAGTGAGAACTCGATGTACTTATCCTCGGCCTCGTCGTCGTCAAAGTTTTCCCGCTCGTCAATCAGGTCGAGGTCGTAGTAGGTGCGTAGTTTCTCCCAGATGTATGGGATGCGCGTGTGTCGGTGGATGTCAGGATCGATGCCATGGTTGCGCAGGTGCTCTGAGATTGCTATCATTCGAAAGTGCTTGTGCATTCCTAATAGAGGACATGTCTGGTCAGCATGGAACTTCACACTCGCTTCTTCTCATGTATGGCAGGACGAGGCTAACCAGCAGGTTTCCAGCGAATGACGCCTTTGAATAGCGAAGAGATCTGATCGTCCGTCCAGAGATTATCGTACGGGGTCACGGGTATGATTGGTTTGAAAGCCGAGGATGAGAATCCCGGGGTCGCGCTTAATCGAGGCGTATCAACGTCCATAGCGCTGTCTTCTCTGATGGTGGTTGGCGTTGAAGACACCTGCAGCCGCGAGCGCTTCTTTGGGGGCATTGTGGCGCAGTTTCCAGGCCCGCAAGGTAGTATCTACAGTAGGTATTGATATTTGAAAGAGATGCAGGCGTGATGGAAAGTCTGAGTGATGCGCGGTTCAAGATGCATTGAGCAGAGCAACAACGCCGATGATGGATAAAAGAAAAATAAACGAGCACGGAGCTCGAGGCGTCAAGGTTTGGTGTTTGTTGCCGAAGGCAAAAAGCATCAAATGAGATCATTGCTAGCTCTGGAGCTATCAGCCACTAACGTTCACTGACACTGACAGCTGATTGTTAGCGACTACCAGCGCTGGCGCTGGCACGGAGACCTGCCCGCGAAACAAACATGGAGGCCGACTCTGGTGCTTCTCAACGCCAACACCGATAAAGCTCCAGGGCCGTTTTTTCTGTCTTTTTTTTTTTTTTTTTTTCGACAACGCGGTTTGCGCTGATGGCCGCAGTTGGCGCTTCTGCCGCATCTTATCCTCTATGCATCAATTGCTGAAGCGCGCGAGGAAGCCATGGCCAGCGATGGCTCCGACGAATACGTCTTTGCCATTCCCAACTTCTGGCAGCCCTCGAAGCTGCTGCTAGACCTGGGGGCAGAGGCGCCCTCGACTTTTTTCGCAAATGACCTCACAAGTAAGCCATTGGCTATTTGGGTGATATTCTTTTGGGGTGCAGGAGTCTCAAGATACTAACTTTTGCCTCTCCGCGCGGCTAGATACCTTGTCAAAAACAGACTCTGACCCCTTCGCGCTCGATCCCTTATCACCAACCCACGATGGCTTCTTCAAACTACTACCGCTACACGACACCCAAATTGAGCGTGCCGAGACGGACAGCTTCAACACTTCAACGGCGTCTCCAGATTCAGAACCCATAGAACAGCCAGAAAGGTCGCCAAACGAGCCCCCAACAGCACTTGACAGCGACGATAATGAAGGGGGCGAAGAGAATGACATATGGCTGGACCCGAGAATACCTGCCAAGCCGAAACCGTCGCATAGGACGTGGAACGGCTTCTTATCCGGCAATCCAGCCACGAAGTTCCAGCCGATGACGGTCAGCGAGGCCGGTCCCGCTGCCTACGATGCCCTGCTGCGTTCTCCAAACGACCCGATGAAGCTCAGGAATACCGATGTCCCGGTCGTTGACACGAAAACATACCTGTCCTCTTTGCTGGCTTTGGCGCTCGGCGGAGAGTCCGTTCTCTTCACCAGAAAAGACGGTACGCAAAGCCTCCGGCCTGCGCTGCCCAAGATGAGAGCCTCGGGGTATTCCAGCCATGTCCTCCAGGCGCTTGAGAACAAGTGTCTCAGATGCGGAAACACCTTGATGGGTCTGCGCGCATTTGTCGATTCCGCCTTCTTAGAGCACCCAAGCCGATGCGGAGTAGCTCTGGCCAGTACTATCAATCAGGTCCTCCAGGTTGTCCAGGAATGGGTAGCTTTTCATGGGCGAAACCCTCGTTCGCTTCTGCAGCTTCAGGCTACCGTCAACTCAGTCGTAGCTATCCTTCGCCCTTTCAAGGCGCTCATGCCACATGTACGCCATGGCATTTCTGATGAAGATATTCTAAATCTCGTGTTTCACCAGGCATACTCCGTTGATAACAATGAGGAGTATCTCCGTCAGATTATGCGGGAGGTGTTGCGAAGAGTATCCAGGCCCTGGATAGAATTTCTTGAAGAGTGGATAGGAACAAGACGCGAGCAAGGACTGCCCTTTACCAAGTCTAACCTAGGGGAAAGTAAGGGGTTTGTCAAGGTTGAGGCACGGGTGTTTAGGGATGATTTCGGTCGAGAGCTCGCAGAAGTTGACTACATGTTGGACCCAACAAAGATGCCGCCTTTCATGCCTGAGGATGTGACAGAGACCATATTTGAGACTGGGCGCAACTTGCGATTCATTCGGTCGTTTCATGAAGATCATCCACTGGCTCAGCAAGATGTCATTGCGTCTAGTGATCCTCCCCAAGCCAAATGGCTTTACGACTGGGATGCCATCCTACGCCTTGAGAGCCGTGCTGTTGCGTACCGCGACTCTTTGGTCGACGCCATTCGGTCGAGCCGTGATGGCTACTCTCTGGATCCCATGGCCGGATCTGTTCAGTCGCTGGCTGATAAGCCAGGTTCTATTCTCTCATTCTTTGGATTGGATCAAATCGGAATGGAAGAGCGCATTGCAGCATCTATCGAGCAGTTTGCTCAGCCAGTTGCTACCCACGACTCAGAAGATACTTTGAGTAGGATTGTGCGCGATCGACTTTCCGGGACACATATATCGACTATTGAACTCTCAAATTCTACCCCTCACTGGACATTGCTCCCCGTCCTTTCTTTCGGCGTTATTGCTTCGGCACAGGCCCAAGTGGTCAATAAAGAGACGCTCAAACTCCTTTTTACAGAACACTACTTGCGAGATCATCTAAGGCTACAGCGAGAATGTCAGCTTTTAGGCAATGGGCTTCTTTGTAGTCGCCTCTCCCACGCTCTATTTGATCCCAGCATGGATACAGCGGAAAGACGTTCAGGGGTCGCGAGGAACAGCACTGTCATGGGCTTACGGCTAGGGGGGCGCGATAATTGGCCTCCAGCAAGTTCAGAGCTACGGCTGGCGCTGATGGGTATACTTTCTGAATGTTGTAATGCCAATCAGGATAATGGAAGAGTGGAGAGTAGCGGCCGCCTCTTTGACAAAGAGAAATCCGGCTTGCCAGGGGATATGAGCTTTGCTATAAGAGATCTTTCTGAAGAAGAAATCGCCAAGTGCACCAACCCGGACAACCTTGAAGCCTTGGACTTTCTTCGTCTATCCTATACAGCGCCGCCGCAGCTGAGCCCTATTATCACGCCGATGAATCTGCTCCAGTACGACGGCATCTTCAAATTCTTATTGCGTGTCTTGCGAATGACGTTTGTCGTTAACCAGCTCTTCCGGGACACCAATAGCTTGGCTCGTGACTGGGAAGATCCGGGTGACGCAACATTGCGGTTCGTAAAGGAAGCCCAGCATTTTGTGGCTAGCGTATCGACATATTTTCTCGACACAGGCATCGCTGTGCCTTGGCGCGTATTTGAGAGGAAACTGGACAAAGTCGAGGCGGACCTCCAGCGACCGAGCATGAGCAGTTCATCAGAGGATATTCAGAGCCCAGATAAACTACAAGAGTTTCATTCTCTCGTCCTGGATCGAATCATGCTTGCCTTGTTCCTCAGAAAGAGGCAACAGCCTGTACTGAAGCTGCTGGAGGACATATTCAATACCATTTTACGATTTGCCAAGAACGTCAGGCTAAAGTGGCTTGAAACACAAGGCGAAGAGACAGATACCCAGACAAAGGCAGAGGCGGACCCTTCTGCTTTATACGCAGAGTTTAAGAGAAAAGTGCAGATTTTCATCACGGTGTGTCGCAGCCTCTCGGAGAAGGCTCGTCGCACAGACGGTAAGAGAGGGAGAGAAGAAAGGATATTCAAGGAGCAGTACGGGACTGGCGACGATAGCATGGTTGCGCAGCTCCTGGTGAAGCTTGACATGTTTGACTACTATCTTAAGCGGTAGACGGGCTGGTTTAGACGGCGAATGAACGTCGAGTATAAGAAATATTAATAACATATGCATAATAACATATTCATGATTACCAATTCATACTTCCTCAATTAAATCTTTATCTTGAGCGTTCTACAATATAGGTCTTCTACATTTCCGTCCCAACCTTGTAGGCATTGATTAGGTAGCTGTCTTTGGCAGTTCGTTGCCCCTCCATTGACTGCCCACTAGAGATGTGCCGATTTTAGTGCCCCTCGTCGCGTGGAGACGCGACCGG